CTTCTAGTGCTTCAGCTTGCGTTCATTGTTGCTTCAGTAGCCCTCTTTTCCATCCGAGCATGATGGAAAAGCTCAGTAGAGGACCAATTCATTATTAGAAATGAGGAATGCTGGTCCATTCATCTTTCTTCCTTGCTAATCCTCAGGGATCAAGGCCATACACTGTCATATGCTGTGCATTTGAATGGTGAGACCCTAGGTGGGGCTGGTGGTGGTGGTGGGGCTGTTTCCACACAAGCTCCACACCGTCTGCACAGGGGCAGTGCCCCTGTGAACAGAGAGCCTCTGATGTGCTCCACTTGCAAATCCATCTTTCTGATCTGACTCTGGGGATAGGTCGATTACAGGTAGTCTGAAGCAGCCTTGATGGTACTTCTCCAGTGCAGAAAGAGCGAGTACTTTCAATGGGATGCATTTACTCTGTACAAGTAGGGATTTTTCTTTGGGTTAGACACATGTTACTATATTCGCTTTTCCACTGTTTGCGTTTGAATCATTACCTTGATCTGTGACTTGCTCTTCTCCCCTTGACCCTTCCTAGTCACTCACGACATGTTTGTTAAGCAAGGCCCGTTTTGACGCCTTTGGCCCTTGCTCTGGATTAGAGGTCAAGGAAGGCCTGCGAAAACATCTCTCTGGGCCCCAGCTTTCTGCTGCCCACTCTTGGCAAGGAATGGGGAACGGCTGTGGGGTCAGGGGCCTGGGGTGCTGGGCCCCCACAGCTGCTTAGGCCTTTACTCTGTGCTTCGTGTGGCTCAGAGTCTCACACGCACTCAGATAAACATCCAAGAACCAGTGTCAGAGCCCCAGCGTTAATAGAAAATGAAGATGGAGAAGAATAAATGCAATTTTTCAAAAACGTATGAGCATACGTCTCTGCTAATAGGTGCAAAGAAACACCTAGAAGAATATAAACCAAATTATTGAAGTACTTCTATTTGAGAAGTGGTGACAAAGACACTCTCCTTGACCAAAACCTTAGTCAGGCTCCTCTGATCCCAGCTAGACCCTGTCCTGGGGTGTGTCTTCCAAGAGCACAGATCTTGACAAGCAGGTTTAGTAAGCTCCCCTACCCTCAATATCCGATGGCCCTCGTTATCCAGTCAGGCTTGTCATTCTCTACCATCCCCGTGGTGTCTGGTCCCCCTGGCCTGACTTCAGCATGGATGCTGTTAGGTCAGTGAAGCCAGACTTCCCACTTACTCTGGTGTTTCTTTTTAGAAATTTTCTATCCATGACCTTGGCCATGAACTCCCACTCTTCCCTGTATCCGGAGCTGGCCCAACCTCCCTCCCCTACACCTCCTTGCCGTGGTCCCTATGCTGATTGCAATGGTCCTGAACAGTCTGCCTTCCTGCCTTAAACAAGTGTCATGAGTAATTAGTTAACAGTGGGGACGTCTATGATTTTCAATCCTTAAATTAGTTGTGTTTACATATTATTGGTGTATTGTGTTTGCATTTTTCACATAGACCAACCACTTTCTTGAGGTAGTATGCCATAAAACCCGCCTCCATAAGGTGTACAATAAGTCTTGGTGCTTTTATAGAATTGTGCGACCATCACCACAGACCAGTTTAAGACAATTCTCAAAAGTTCCCTTGTGCTCCTTTGCAGGCGCCCTTCACTCCTGTTTTCTTTTTTTTTTTTTTTACAAATAGTTTATCGTGAAATTAGTTTCCACATAACACCCAATGCTCATCCCCACGAGTGCCCTCATCCATGCCCATCGTTACCCTTCACTCCTGTTTTCATCTCAGGCCACCCTGGGTCTGGTTTCAGAATGACTTTTCTGAAATTTCATTCAAATGGAATTAAGCACCACGTGGCCTTCTTTATCTGGTTTCTTTCGCTTGCTAATGTTTTTGAGGTTTATCCGTGTGGCAGTGCGCATCAGCAGTCTCTTCTCCGCGCCGCTGGATGGACTCCAATGTATGGGTGTGCCCTGTTTTGTTCCCCATTTCTAGTCAGTTGACAAGTGGGCTGTTTACAGGTTTGGGCTGTTGTGAAGAATCATGATATGAACATTCGTGCACAAGCCTCTGAGTGGATAGAAGGGTCACATTTATAATCAGGAAGGAAGAAAAACAAACAAAAACCCAACATGGATCCTCAAGCTTTCTGGAATGTGTCTTCTTTTCCCCAAAATGGGAACTCTAGAGGTGCGGCCAAAGGTTTAAAATGAGGAGGGAAAGAAGTGGGTCCCTGGGCAGATTTCCTTGACACTGGCCTGTGCATGGCCCCAGGGGGACAAACAGGGACAGCGGTCCCACTCCTGGAAACTGATGGTATTCATACCATTCCTCACAAGCCTCTGAACACATGTGACATGTCATGTGTCCCCACTGCAGCTCTGTGTCAATCCCACCACAAACAGCACTCCTCTGTCTCAAAGTCCTTTTGTTCAAAAGCAGCAAATCAAGGCAATACCAAACTATGTGCCTCTGTCATGTTTAATAAACATTTTCCAGGGTGGTTTGCTTTTGGAGTGGCTGCAGAGAAAGGCCTGGAACACCAGTGCAACCTGACTGGCTGGGTTGTTCATATTCAGCAATTCAAGTGTTTGGGCTGGGTCCTTTCCTTAAGATGCAAAGGCTAATCTTTACGGCTCTGCGGGCAAAGCATTAGAAAAGCCAAGGAAGAGAGGATCCGGTTCTGTAAGCAGGGAGGAGATGCAGAAGGAAAAGAGGCAACCAGGAAGTTGGAAAGTACACAGGATGGGCACCCCACTTACAGAGAAGCGGCAGGAAGCAGACTGACAGCACATCGCTGGGGGATAATATTTAGAACCAGCAGATACACGCAACTTCAAAGCACTATGGGGTGGCTCAGTGCTGATGGGTACCACTGCTAACACCTACCTTATCTGTGGCCCCTCAGCAGGCTCTCCACGGATGTTCTTCCAGCCACCCGAGTTCCCGTCTGGGTATGGAAGGGTCTGGGTGGCTTTGAAGGGTCACCCATGTAGGCAGCCCTGCCTCTCTCCTTTGGAAACTCCCCTGGTCGCCCCACTGGTTCTGACCCCGCTTTCTCTCTTTGTATTCTGCCTATGGCAATGCCCCTTTCTCCTTTCTCTGAATGCCTTTTTCTTCATTCTTTCCTTTAATGTTTATTTATTTTCAAGAGAGAGAGAGAAAGGGAGAGAGAGCAAGCAGGGGAGAGGCAGAGAGAGGGAGACCCAGAATCTGAAGCAGGCTCCAGGCTCCTAGTACAGAGCCCGATGCAGGGCTCGAACCCACGAACTAGGAGATCATGACCTGAGCTGAAGTTGGAAGCTCAATTGACTGAGCCACCCAGGTGCCTCTCTTTTTTCCTTTCCCTCTACATTTATTTCTTTGGAAGGATTTACTCATTCTGCTTTAATCTATCATTTTGAGGTATGTGACTATACTCCTTTACTTCAGCACTGATGCTTTTCCTAGTTCGGCTACTGCAACAGTAATATTAATACCAGCAGGTATCAGCACTTGACAATATTCAAAGAGCTTCTGCTTGATCCTCACCAAGAAGCAATCCTATGATGTGGGCGGGATAGCTGGCATTGATTCCTTTTTTAAAACAGAGGAAATCGAGGTGAGAAAGTTCAGAGACTGCCCGATGTCAGAGACTCAAAGCGGTGGGACCAGGAGCGGGTCATAGGCCCCTGACCCTGGTGCAGTCCCAGGGATGGGCACACGAATAAGTGATAAAGTTTAAAGCAAATGTGCTGTTAACTGATCTGTTTGACAGAGACCGAAACGGGGGTTGGTGGGTGGGAAGGATGCAGTAACAACTTCTAGCAGGTCTACAGAATTCATTTTATGAATCAATGAGCCTGTGAGGAGAGTTTTCTTGCTTTTAGATTTTCTAAATGTCTATATATTCAATATTCCTTTTTTAAAAAGCTTTTATTTTTTATTTAAATAAATCTTCTTAATGTTTATTTATTTTTGAGAGAGAGACAGAGAGACAGAGAGAGAGAGAGAGACTGGGGGAGGGACAGAGAGAGAGAGACAGAGAATCCAAAGCAGGCTCCAGACTCTGATCTGTCAGCACAGAGCCCGACGTGGGGCTGGAACCCATGAACTGTGAGATCAAGACCTGAGCCAAAGTTAGATGCTTAACTAACTGAGCCACCCAGGCGCCCTGTATTCAATATTCTTTAAAAGGCACGGAGATCCTCTGAAAAGATTCAGAGATCATTTTAGGGTAGAAGTTTTTGTTGAATGATGATTTGCCAAAATATGTCTATAATATAGTGCTGGGGACTAATTTTATGGGTCAAATGTCTATTTAGTTATATGACCCTCCATAAAGTCTTGCCCTCAACTAAATAAAAAGTTATAGCAGTTAATACTTAACGGCCAGGTATTGATACTAGGTTGACGTGAACAAAAAGAACATTTTGCAGAAAGGAACATGCTCGGGATTCGCTGTGAATCAATCGTGTTTATTCTTGAAGCTTTTATTTTGGAGACCTGTATTGCAAAATGACATGTTTCATGTTTACAACAGGTATTAGAAATTTGAGATTTTTTTTTTTATGTCTACCGTTTTAGAGTAAAATTGGAGATAATGTCAAACCATCATCAAAAAATGCAGAGCAAACTTTTCTGTATATAAACTGTACATAGAAACAAGGCACTATACATTTTGGGGAAGATATTAAGGTAGAAAGGTGGAGGCGCACAGATTCTTTGGAGCCCATGCCAGGAAGTACAAATTCTTTGTTCATTTTAGCACCGGAAGCAGCACTCCGAACAAATCAGACCTAATGCCAAAGGAGACACTTCTGAGCTGTGTGTGAAGATACAGAGAGGTGCCAGAGCTAACTCCACAGAAGCAAGTCCGTCTACCTTTTCATATTATTTTGACACCAAAAGAAAAACAAATCTTAAAAGTGAATTGGATAATATTGCTTTGTTAAATACATATTTGATTTATATGGTGTTTATATAAATATATATATTTTTGAATCCACAAACTATCAAAATAACACTTTATAAAGAGAATTGCTTCAAAAAAAAAAAAATAGGCAATGCTCAGCTAGAACGGGAAGGCAGTGCAACAGCAGCTGCTGGGAAACAGCTACGTAAGTGCACACAGGGACACCTTTATTATCATGACCTGCTGGATCATGGAAAGAGTTTCCAAAGGGTTCGCTGAAACATTTACAAAATACACAAATCCAGGACACGCTGTAGAGCTAGTAACTTCAGGTTTTAAAAACTCTAATGAAAAAATCTTTTTTTTTTTTTTTAAATACCAGTCCCCCCAGAAAATAGCCATGTTTCTGGTCCAACTGAAAGTGATGACAGATTCTTCTAGCATCTCTCCTGCTCAGAACAGACCTTTTGCTTTCTTCAGGTTCACCTGCTTCCAGGCGGGCAGTGCGTTGTATTCGTCTCTGGTCATGTCTAGTGCAAACTGCAAAATTGGGGGAAACGCCCAGTGGGTGAGTGGAATGACTCCCACCCAAGCCACGTGTGTTGCTTAAATGCCATTGCACATGAAGAAATGCTTACCTCAAAGTCTTCGTCAGTGAGATAAATCTCCAGCTTCAGGGGATCAACCCCCTCGGGCAGTGGCCTGGCTAGCAGATCGGCCAGTGGATAAATGGTTTTGCAGAGCTTGGCTAAGACATCTTCCACGAGGGTGATCTGGTTCGAAACTTCTGTATCCTAGAGAAGAGGAGGGAGCAGAAAGAACTTCATGTTCTGCATCCACACAAATGTTTTGTCACGCGCCTGCAAATACACGACCCTGTCCAGTCTGTGCCCTAGCCGGAGGGGCTCATTCAAGGGGAAGCAGGCTCTGAAATGGAAAGGAATTGCCCCAAAGCCCCACAATTCTCCTTTAGATGTCTTCCCACCTCACGAAATAAATCCTGCCTTGGAGCTGCCTTGGACAGAAGGGAATATCACACGAGTGAATTACGGCTTGAGATTATTAAATTTGAACTCTAAACACTAGAAGCAGTCAGATAATGGAATTTGTTTAAAAGTATTTTAAAATAACCTTATGAGGATTCACACTGCCCCCTTCAGCCCTATTTCTTAATCCATAATAGAAAAAGGTAAGAAAATGCATCTAGAATATGCTGTGGAATCTAGACTTAAAACAAATACCACTCTGTGCATTTACTCTGAACTGCTTATTCCAGGTAAATTCTCTTCCTCCAGATCGGCTGCCCTCCTCCTGAGCGGCGGGAATGAATGACTAACAGGGTTGCCAAATTCATCAAGGATGTCCAGGGACTAGTGGCCAAGGAGTGGGTTTTAGAGCAATCCTGCACTTAAGACCCAGGACAAGCTACTTCCGGGGTCTGTGTCTCAGCTCCTTCCCTGGGAAAATGGAGATAATTCTAAGATGAATCTTAATAGAGTGTTGTAAAAATAAGGGAGAAAATACACATAAAGGGCCTGGAGTCATGCCTGGCACACAGTGAGCACTCGGGGACTGTGCTGTTGCCACAGCTTGGTGCGGAAAGCCCGCCCTCGCTGGCCGGAAGCCCGCCAGCCTGAACGAGATGCTCCCAACCCACTGCGGCCTGGGCATCTACAGCGTGGGCAGGACACAGCGGTAACTACAGCCTTGAACTCACACTGTTCAAGGAGGCGGTACTGGTGCGGGGCGCGTGATCCCTGGCATGGACCGCCTGTTGATTGTAAACAGAGCCCTCTCAGTGTTGGGCTCCACCCCGCGTGGACTGAGCCCCCTGCCTTACAGAGAGAGGTGAGGCTCTGCAGAAAAGCTGGCATGAAACAGGCATTTGCACTCACTACACGTCCACTGTTAGGCGGCGGCGAACTCTCTTTGTTCAAACTCGTTCAGACCGCCAGTAAAATACCTGTGTCCTCGCCTCCAGAAAAGCAGCTCTCTCACATAGTGGGAAAATCGAAATGGAGCCAACCTATTTCCTTAACAATGTTAAAAACTCACAACTTAGGAAATTCTACATAACTGTAGTAGGTTTGTTTTTTTTTTCCTATGTGGTTGGAAATGATACTGTTCTGGTTAATCATAGGTTTTAGTAAATAAAGGTTATGATCGATGCTTCATGAGCTAACACCAGCTGGTCTCATGAAAGACTATTAACATTCCTTATCAGGAGTGGCTCAGGATACATTCATTCAGTTCATTGTTTGAGCAGGTTACTCCATCACAGATTTATTTTGTGTCTCCTCTAACACAAGGTTAATGTCTGAAACGAGAGGATTTTGTTGCGCCTTACACGGACCTTGAAAAGCAATAGACTTTTAGCGAACAGGAAGAAGAGATGGCAGCTTTTATTTATGTATCTTCTTCAGAGTAATTAAGTTCACCTTTGCTTTTAAGTTGTTTAACTTGAACACCAGGTGCAGGAAAATCCTAAAATGGTTCAAATGATTTATTACCAAAATAGTTCAAGTGACTTCTTCTCTTCCTAAGCTAATTCTACATAGACTTGTTAACATGTTGTAAAAGAAAAACAAAACATTTTCTCACTTGGAAAATGCAACTGGATGCCTTTACCACAAGGTAAAGTCAACCCACAATCTGAAAGGCATAGAGCCACCTTCACGGGGGAGGAAAGCGCGCTCACCATTTCCGTGATTTCAGCGATGTCCTCTCTGTGCTCCCAGCTGGGGAACATATTGGTGAAGGTCAAGGGCTCCAGACCAGCGTGGATAAGGTAAGACTTGGGGGGCGGCCTCTTGATATTTTTTCCTGGAGGTACACAGAAGGCAACATCAGGACACCCAGGGTGTGGGTCCAAACACCTGCTCTTTCTCTGATTTCCCTTGAAATCTTTTCTTCATTTGGGTCTCTTGCCTTAGGCTTAGAGTGGAAGTGGTGAGTAGCTCAGAATAACACATGGATGATATCTATATAAAATGTTGTTTACACATATAAGGATGCATAAAACTGCATATAATTGACCTGACTCGAACAAAATGCTTCTGCATCTCTGGATGGGAGAAAGCCTCTCTCCATGGCTTCTGGGTGAGACATTTTCTTCCTCGTGTGTTCACCTGTAGAAGTATTCCTCTGACTTCCTAATGTGAGTTAAACAGCTAATGACAGCATCTTATAAATCACTCTAACATAAACATTTGGTGGGAACTTGTGACTTATTAGTGACGAGCTTTTCAAGAGAAAACTGTACACATTCAGTGAAACGAATCCATGAAACCTTAAAAATTAAGATAAGACATTAATTACTGCCATCTTCATTTTATATAAAATACTATCCATTTTAGGTGGATGGTATAGCCATGAATTCGCTATAGATCTTTCTTTGTAGATAGCACACTAAAAATAATAATGCATGATAAAAAGGCTGCCATTGGCTTTCCAGCCCATTTAGGGGAACTTTCCACTCTGGACCGTGGGCGGCTCTGCACGGAAGGAGGCCCCCATGATCCAGACCGCAAAAGGGGCTCGACCCCTCCGGGGCATTCCACAACACAGCTTTAAATCTTGAGGGTAGCCGATCAGACGGCCCAGTACTATAAAAGAGAAAAATGAACTCCCATTCATGGTGATGGTCAAGAATGAATTAATGTCAAAATTAAGAAGCCTCAAAAAATTACTGGGGGAGGAAAACGCTTGGTTTCATCACTGCCTGCCAGGCTGTATCAAGGTTGGGAAGGGAAACACTGATCTGCCACCCTGCCGGAGGGGCTGGGGCTGGCCGCTGAGCTGAGGGCCCCAGGCTTGCCCGCAGGTGCTGACGCCTCACCTCTGCAGTAATGGAGCACGGTCTCCATGGCGCTCTTCCGGTCGGAGGCCCAGCGAATGCGGGCAGAGCCCGTGATCTTGTTCTCGATGGGCCACCAGCCCTGCCAGAGGTACACCTCATGGTGATTGTCAACAAGGAATAGTGCTGTGAGGGCAAGGACGGACCAGACAATCAGGGGCTTCTCCATGATGCTTCCGGTCACTCTTCCCCACACCTAACGGGTGCCCTCCCTCCAGGCTGCCTTTGTCAGGGGCAGGGGGGCGCAGGGGCCCCTTGGCTGGGCCACAGGGAGGGTGTCCACGATGCCTCAGCCCTTTGAACATACAATCAGGAAAAGCCTCTGGGCGGAGAAAGGTGGCATCTGTCCCCACATTCTCTCCCTTTGCTCCTCCTCAGTCGCAGGCCTCCGAGCGCGCTTCCGGGCATTGGCAGCGTGCCGAGTGGAGGGATAATGCACCTGCCACTCAAGGGGCTGTAAGCACTATTTATCTCCAAAGAGCATCTTAAAAACCGGAGAGTACCTCCCCCTTGCCCTACGGGTCACGATGTGCACGCCCCATATGCGTTTGCTTCCTAGGTTCCTGGTTCTTCGTGAGACAACCGGGCTTTAAGGGGCGGATGTGTTCTAACGCTTCCTCCTCCCTTTTTCTCCTCGTCAAACTGTCAGCCTGACTCTTACTCCGTGTGGCAAAGGGGGTCCCGCGCTGTTCTGGGAGAACCGCTGAGAACTTGCCCCGCATCCTTTCCCAACACGTATTTCAGGGTCCCACCACACCACGCATTCGAAAAGCCCCAAAGAGGCTGCCAGTCCACCTGAGGCGTAGTGTGAAGAGGGTGGGTAGCAGCCTCCCCGGAAGAAACTTGTGAATACACAGGATGGCCCGAGTGCCGGCTGTTGAACTTTCACGGTGGGGGCATGGGCCAGTCACTGCGGGGTTCCGGCTGAGCGGAGACAGCACGAGGGCTCAGCCTCGACTGCAGGAGTCTGGCTGGCTCTGTACCGCCCCCTCTCTGGTGACCGTGACTGTCCCAACCAGAACAAGGGCATGCAACAGGTTCTGTCGTGAGATGGGGGCCGAGTGGATACAGCCCTGACCTCGGAATCAGAAGACGTGGGTGAGAACACTGTTCTTTGGCTGGTTCAGCAGATACCCCCAGCCCCTTGACACCAGGCCACTTGTTTCCCAGGTCCCCTTGTAGCGGAGGGTGGTCATGTGACAGAGCTCTGGCCAGTGGGATGTAGGTAGAAGTCAGCTGGGGGCTTCTGGGAAATCTTTTGCTTTATCCAATAAAAGGGAGAGACACGGCCGTCGTTGCCCTTTTCCCAACCCCTTCTTTCTGTCTTGAACGCAAACATGATGCCTGGAGCAGGGGCAGCCGACTGCGGGCCATGAAGCTACAGGACAGAGGGGAGTCTGGGAGAACAGCTGAGATTCCAGGCCTGACATGGTTGTGCTCAGTCTATTCGTAACAGACATACTTGGGTGAGTTAAGTAGCGGGGCCTCGGTTTCTTAGACTATAACAAATGGTGGATGTCCCCTTCCTTTGGGGTAGGTGTGAACACGAGATGAGATAACCTAAGAAAGTTCCTGGCAGGGTACTTGGCAAACAAAAACCGTATAGTAAATATGAAAGTAAAGTAAGAAGGCCGTCTGGGAGGTGTACACTCTGGGGTTCAGCACGTGACCTGTTCCACGGCATACCTGGCTGCGGTGCACTGTACAGATCTTCCTGCAGGAAGGGCATAGAATTGACCACAGAGGGGTCTCGGGCGGGATACATGAATTCTGTGGCTGAGAAATCACCAGAGGAACTGCTGAGGATGAACAGGCGGGGTGTGAAGTTAAAATTTCCAGGATCTTTGAAAGAAAAGAGAACAAAGCTGAGGACACGATATGCATCAGAGTAAATCCCAGATGGACTGGAGAATGACCCTAAGACATGAAATAACCCAAAGCCTTCATGTGAAAATAGGTAAGATTTATCTGACCTTGGAGGCAGGGAAGGCCTTTTTAATCACAGTTAGAAGGAATGAAGGGCGAAGGGACTTCTGCTTTGACAGCATAAAAATGAACAATTTCATTGCAAAAAAGCCCCAAACCAAACGAAAAGGCAAGTGACAAAATGAGAAATGTGGAAACGGGTTAATGCCCTTAGTATATAAAGAAATATGATAAAGATGAACATCTCAGTAAAAATGTGCAAAAAAGCAAAAATGAAAACATTCACCAAAGTAGAAATACAAATGATTAAAAACAAATATAAAGTGTTTAACAGTATTTGCAATTTAAAACATTAAGTTAAAATAGTGCTTAGATCGCAGTCTTCTCCCCCCCCCCCCCCCATTTTGGCAAAGAGGAAAAGGTAAGGTGCCTGGTCTCCTCTGGGGAACGCATACTCTCCTGCGTGTATTGCTGGGTGAGTATGGAACTTGGTGCCAATGTTTGGGGGCACCTTGTTGATAGGCACCCTGAATCTTTCCTACCTTTACCACAGCAGTTCTGTATCTAGGAATTTAACTAGAAATAAATGCAGGTACTTGTTTTAACTTTATTCACATCTCTATTGCAGAATAGGGAAAAACTGGAAATGTCTCTCCAACCAAAAGAGACAGGTTAAATAGAAAATGGCATATAGCGTACTCATGGAATGCCCCGTGGCCAGAAAAGTCTAGATATTAACAACCTGAGCAACTGTTCATAATAAAGGGAAAACCTGGGTTACAAAACTGTGTACTGCTGTCCAAAATTTTCTTAAATATAGATGTCCGGATCCCACAGAGAAATGTTAATTCTGGTTATCTCTGTGAGAGAGGATTATAAGGGACTTCATTTCTTTTTCAACCTCTCTGTACTTTTAAACATTTTCCGTCATCAATATGCATCATGAGGAAAAACTGTAAACGTTCATGAACATTGAGAGGTTAGGAGTATACCCTGCTGTGGTCCAACCTTGGGCAAGCTGATGAACTTCCCTGTGCCTAAGTCTCCTCATCAGAAGAAACATGGTGGCGTTAGGTTGTGCACATTGAGATAATGTGGATCCGGTGCTTGGGGGGTGCCTGGCTCATCCTAAACTGTTTAATACCTGTGAGCTTTCCCTCTGTGTCAATCTGTATTTAAGTTGATCTATGTTCTGTGTATTTAATACAAAACTGACCTGATCTCTAGTCTGAACTCCATTATGTCCCTGTACCCAGGATGCGGGCCAACCGGAAAGCATCTCGTTCCACAGGGTCACATTGTGTCATTGCTCCTCTGGTTTACTGGAATTTGCTTCTCTCTTCTCTGCCTCCATCTCTTCAAGTCCTGCTTCCCTCCGAGGCTCTGTGTAAGTGCTGGGTCTTCTGTGGAGCCGTGTGTGATTTTCCCGGTGGAACTACTCTGTTTTTCTTTCTAACTCTCAGCGTCCTTCATTCGTACGTCTTTTGTGACACACCAGAGTTTTATTTGGCATTATACTTAGTCATGCATGTTACTTAGCCTCCTTACTGGGTTGTAGCCTCTGAGGACCTAGCCTAGGTTTGATTCATTGGGTGTTGTACATAGTACATGCTCAACAAATATGCACAGATATGGTAATATAGTAATACGTACTGAGGTAGTGATGGGAAGCTATGCAACGTTGGATTACCTTGAAGCATGCAGTCGTAGGCTTTCCGGTCTCTCCTTCCTAAAGCGTCCCAGAATCCCAGGGGCTCGGATCCTTCGTCACACTCATGGATTGTCACTTTGCTGCTACTATGCAGTCCGGCTTCCAGGGGACATCTGCATGAAAAAAATCCAGTAGTTTTTGTTTGTTTGTTTGTTTGCTTGTTTTTTTAAGCCCTGAAAGTGATGGCAGTATGGAATTAAGACTAAATCTGCAGATCAGTTCACCATCTCTCTTCTTCCTAACTGAAACAATTCTTACTAATTAACAAAGACATGCTCTGTGGTTTATGAAGGTGTGGGGGGGGGGGGGCAATGAGAGGGATGTGCTTGGCCCTTAGAGAAGAATGTATAATTACGTAGAAGTTGTAACGAAGAAGTTGTTTTTATATATATATAAAATGTATGTTTGTATGTATGTGTGATATTTACTATTCCTTGTCCTGTCTTGCTAGAATCTAAGCTTCATAGGGACAGAGATTTGGGTTAGTTCACTAGTCCCTAAATCTGTGTTTGGCACCAAGTACGTGCTGAGTAATACCTGCAGAGTGAATGAGTTCACTGTCCTGTTTTTTCTCAGTGGTCCAAAGGGAAAATCCAAGGGGCCGGGGATGCCTTTGGATACCTCACCGAAGGCCAGTTATCTCCCCTCCCCACTCACTGGCACAAGGAACAGTGTTTTGAGATGAGGCATTTTGCTCCCTGGCGTCTGCCCGTTGAAAGGGCACTGGCCCGCGTTCTCTCCTTGTCACCTTCTCCTCGTAGCGCTGGGTTTGAGAGCAGTCGCAGGGGAAGGATGCCCACCCTGCACCGCTGTGGTACCCAGAGAATGGATCTGACCAGATTACACTTTGGTGGCATGTTGTGGCCCTGGAAATGCTTCACGTGCTCCCAGTGTGCTTCCGGGTGACAGCCTGAGGAAACGCTAGGCATCCCCTGCCTAGCAGGCAGGCCAGTGGCTCAGTGGTAGGGGGGGCTGCCTTGGCGAATGCGGAAATACTGCTGTCCTCTGGAAAGGGGACATCTTACAGTCTGACCCAGTTGGTGGTCTCCCAGACTTTTCTTTAGCTAACTGCTTTCCGACTTTCCACTGCTCTGGCAAAACTAAAACATTGAGCCCCTAAAAGAGACTTGAAATTCGCTCTCTTTAAGTAACAAAGGACTCCAGCCTTTTAATTCAAACTCACACCTTCCCTCGCTCCTCACTCTGCCTTTCTTCGAGGCAGGTACATCCTCAGAACGTGGGGGAAGCCCTCACACTGGAAGCCTGAAGGGAGATGTGTGTCACAGCCACTTGGAATGTCCGAGGCCCCTGACCACATTTGTAACCACCCCTTGCTGAAGTCACTTGAAGTACGCCGGGGCTTCTACTGGCGGCCCTGGGTAGCCTTCTCGCCTCAGCCTGTGCCCCACGGGGAAGCCCCCTTCTGGGAGATGCCCTCACACACAACACTCACTGTTCTTTGATTTTATTTGCTGCGGTCCTTCCGACCTCCTTCGTGTGGGCTTGGGCTTTGCATCCGTGCCACAAGTAAATGAGGGCTTTGTTTACGTTGAGAACCACCATGGAAGTCCTGGACCTCAGGCTACTACAGTGACAGGCCACTTCCAGCAAATTCCCTTCCACTGGCACTTCTCCGCGCACACAGTACAGCCTCCACTCACCTGCAGGGGGCAGCAGCGGCACAAAGTTAGGACGCGTGAGGCTGGGACCAGCCGCCGCCACCACCCATCCTGGGCCCACCCACTCAGGCCCATCCTGTGACTCAGGCGGAGAAGCGGCCAGCTCACCGCTGGCCCAGAAAGCACATCCTTTTGGCATCAGAAGTATGTTCACGAAATAGAAAACCCATTTTTATAACATTTATAAATACTCAGGTAAGTTTAAGAGGTTCTGAAGCTTAAGAGATTTTTGTCGGCCAGCATCCAATTTATAATAGGTGGCCCACTGAAGTTTTCCTCCCTCTTAAAAAGAGACAGAGTCACTGTGGGGATTCAGTGTGAGGGGAAGTAACCTCCCAGCCTCCTGCACACAGGGTCCTACGTAAACTCCACAGGAGGGGTGGGGGCTATGAGCTCCCCATAAAGCTGGATTGTAAGGCAAACGGGCAAACATGAGGAGGCTCTCAGGGGTAAAGACACAGCCGTACAAAGGGAGACTTACTTTAATACCCTGCACCCACCCCCAGTATGAAAACATCTTCTGGGAGAGGGAAACAAATCTTATTCCAACAGTGACAGAGACTTACTCTGTGCATTCTCTTCCTCTTCTTCCCGCCTCCCCGAGTGCACCACCATTCCCCCCTGGAAACACTGCAGAAAGCAGGGGGGCTCCTTTCCCTGCAGAACCTGGACCTTCAATGGAAACACAGTCCATTAAGTAACACGTACTGGTTTTCAAAGCCTTAAAAAAGAATACGTGCCTAGTAGAAAATCTGAAAAATAGCAAGAAGTGCCCACAAAAGCCAGCGAGGATACTATTATCTAAAGAGTAGCACTATGAAAAGTCTAGGGCACAGCTTTCCTTTCGAAGTATCTTTCAGGTATGTATCTTTCCCGAACAAAGGCAGGACTGTTGTCCTTTGTTACTGAATACCCAGTTTTCTCCACCTGTTGCTTTGAGGTCAGAGACGTTGAAAACACGAGTTTTGACATTTTAATGGTATTCCATGGTATAAAGGTAACATGATTGATTTAAATGCATTTTAAACAAAGTCTAGCTCTCAGCAGTGAGAACGACTGACCACTTAGTAACTCAGGGGTGGGGAGGGGTGGGGGTGATGGGAGAAATGTGTCTTTTGTAACCATTTCCATAGTCTACTCATGACCGTTGTGCCTGTTGACCACAGCCTCCCCTTCACCTGTGAAACACTGTGTTCCGTTGGGTGTTAGCTGCCTGTAAATCTGTTAGGGTTGACCCCACTCACTCTCACTTTGGCTACACGTTTTCCCTTAACGAGGAAATTGTTTATTGAGCCTGGCAGTCGGGGGAAAACCAAAAGGTAGGAAGCATTTCCCACCAGGAGTTAACGTATCAGCCTCAGGGCCAATTTTGCATAGTTAACTGCCATTTTGTGGCAGTGTTTTATATGTCTGAAGTGTTTTTACATCCACTGGCTTGATAAAACGGACCACTCAGATTAGGGAGGATAAGACTCAAAATTCTAAGGGTGATTTTGAAGGCATGATTGAAACATGGCCTTGACAAAAATAAAGGCAGTTGAAAATACCCACTATTAGGGATAAATTAAAATGCAATGGTCACTAACTATTATTTTCAATTATTATATAGCCTACAGTAGAAAATGTGTATTAAGTCTTTTCTTAGGGAAGAGGATTGGTTCTTAGGAATCTAGAAGGCTAAGTGAGCCCTGATCTGTCTGGGAGAAAATTCCTTTGTTCTCTTCCCTCATGCTATTGTTAACTATTTGTCCAAGATCATCTGCCCATGGTATCATGCTTTCTCCAAACCCTACGGTCAACTCTTCATTACTAAAGGATGGGGCCCAGGGCAAAGGTAATCTGAACAGGAAAAAGAAATGTTTACAAAATCTTGGCCTCTGACGTTAAAATGGTGGTTTAGATCGGCACAAAGGTCTCTTTCATTCTTCTAGGGAAAGAGGGAATAACAAGTAAGTAAACACAAATGTAAATGAAATGAAAAATGACTACAGCCATGGTTTTAAGTAGTGATAATAGTGGTAAGTGCTTTGGAAACAAATAAAGCTTAATAAAGGGACAGAGAATGGGGAGGGATTTGGACAAAATAGGTGACATTGGAACATAAAACTGAATCATATGAAGTTGAAAGTTACTTATGGATACAGGGGAAATGTTCCAGACAGGAAATTGCACAAAGGCCCTGGGGTGGGCAGAAAGAGGTCTGGGTGTCTCAGGAATGTCAAAAGGTGAGGAAGACAAGGTGAAGGTGGGAGAGGTGTGCAGGGCTGACCACGAAGGTGCTGGCAGATCACCAAGACACCACTTTGGAGAGCAAGGGAATGACACGATCTGACATGTTCCAGAAAAATCTGCGTGAGGGCCGCTGTGAGGGCTGCTGTGAGGAATGCAGATGATGAGAATACTAATTTTTACATTAATCTCAGGTAGTTCCTTAGGATAGATGTGTATAAGTGGGATAACTGATCAAAGTTTATGAGAATTTTCAGGTTGTTGGGCCAAACTGCTTTTCAGGATGGCAGTTTCACGCCACGCTTCCCAGTGGAGGCACCCTACTGAATCCTTACCCACCCTGGATCCATTCTTCACAAAAATCTCTACCAATCTTGGAAGCGGAAAACAGCATCTCTTTGTTTTATTTACAATCCTTGAATACTCGTTAAGTGGAAACTTAAAAAAAGAAAACACTCTCGGGCGCTTGGTACCTGTTTTGTGGATTTACTGTTTGCAGATACAACATCTTGTTTAAGAGCCAATTACCCCTGGCCAGGCGGTGGGTCCAGCCCGTGATCTGGCAAAGCCAGACCAGAACTAAAAGCCACTTGTATGCTGCAGGTCTTCAGGCCACACCTCCTGTGGCTGCCCAGGCAGGATGGTTCCCTTATTCCCAGGGCAGATGCTTTCCAGCACTTACCTGGGCACCCCTCTCTTCGTCCAGCTCCACCGTCATCAGAGCCGACGTGCCCTTCTCGCTCACGGTCGACTGCCGACCTTGCCAGAAGAAGTAGACACACTTCTCTTTGCCAGCCACCCTTACTGAATGCTCTCCCTTTTGTCGACTTCCCACTGCAAACACAAAGGACCCAAGAGGGCAGGATAAATGGCTGATAAGCCAAAAGCAGAGCAAATGTCTGGCTTTCTTCTCCAGGCTCTGGGAGGACAAGGAGTGAAGAACAAAAAAGCTTTGGGGCATGGGGCTGAGGGGCAAAGGCATCTTTCTTCCAGTTAACCGGTCCTGAGCCTCCAAACTGGAGAAAAATGATCTAGCCTTCTTGATACCCTATGAAAAACACCTGTCATCCTCCAGGAAGATGGCGGATCACTCCAAGTGTGTGACAGAGAAAACTGGTGACTGCCAGAGCAGGACCAACGGCCCCCAGATACATTTTCCACATTACGCATTTTCTGGCAAAAGGTTAGCTGGTAGAGAAAAGATATTGAAAACAACAGCTGGGCTAGCCTTAAGTACAAAGGGAAAAATTCGGTCTGTTAAAACTATTCTAGTGAAAAAAACAAAACAAAACAAAAAAAACCACTCTGAAGTTTCCAGATCCTGTCAGAAATGGAAGAGATCTACTGCTGACAGACCACTTTCATAAACTAATCTGGGATTTTAATATTATCCGTCACTGGGTCCGTAGCCAGGACTCGGTGCTGGGTGTCCTTACCGCCTGGCACCTCACTGGCATTTATTTGCATTAGCAGCGCCCGGTGCAGAGCTCACTGCAGAGCTGGCCTGGGAAGCTAGTTGGTTAAGTGGTCATGTTAGAAAGGCGGCATTTCAGACCTCAGCTCGCTACTTTTTGGTATATACCGCATTTCCGGCTCCTTTCTTTCATTCAACAACTACTCACCGGGCATCCACAGTGTACCCGGGACTCTTCAGGACACCAGGGCAATAATGAGAAGACAGTCCCCCCCCCCGCCCCCAACCCCCGCTTTCATTCTAAAAGACATGAGCAAGACAGTTTCAGACAGTTTCAGACAGTTGGTAAGTGCTCTGAGGATGATAGACGGGGCTGTGACACAGGGCAGGGTGAGTGCTAATGGGATTCCCTGTTGAGGGAAGGCCTCTGTGAGGAGGTGACGATGACAAGATGACAAGGACTTGCAGGCAGACCCTTCTGGAATGAATGAGGTCAGGAGACTAAGCTGTTACCTCAGATGCCTGCCTGGGTGGTCCTAGAAAGTGATGGGCAACAATGAGAGAATGCAGGCTTAACACCCACGCTTGTTGAAAATTAAAGATATAACTAGATTCTCTGGTTCTCTATTAACCCAGTGTTTCTCGGCTCCAGTCCCATTTGCGAAATCACCATTGTCTTGAGGTTCGAAGGTAAGAAGGTTCATTTATTTTAAGTTCTTAAGAGGCCAGGGCCATATTTATTTAATTTTTTGGCCCTTTAGCAAAGTACTGTATACACAGTTTCCAGAAATGATTATAATTCTTAACAGTACTTTGCCTAAGCACAACCTTTAGTGCCATCTTTCATGGACCTGAACTGGTCAAGTTTGTGTATCTTTTATTAAATTATTTTGAGAGAGAGAGAGCGAGAGAGAGCGAGCCAGCACACGCCTATGTGTGTGTAGGGGTTGGGGGGAAGGGGCAAAGAAAGATGTTGAGAGTTGAATGCTTAACAGACTGAGCCACCCAGGTGCCCCAAGTTTGTGTATTTTTAAGGGGCAAAGTAAAAGAGAAACCACCAATGAATAAGCTATGCATATTCACAATTAGTTTGGAAGCCACTCCATTGAAATTTCTGCTACTTTAGGTAGAACAAAAGCTTGCCTTTGTTGATTAGCAATCCCACTCTTCAAAGTAGTGAAAATTAGTCATGTCAACTGGGGAAAGATGTGCTTAAAACAGGTCACAGAACTTGATACATATCTTGGAACCTATTGGCACTTAAATACGTTGTGTAAATATGTATTCAGGCTTAAATAACTGGTGTTTTACCATCTAATAGTCTAATGTGGACTTCAGTATATATCTAAAATAGAATTATTTCCTTAAAATATTTCATAATAGTTTTTAGTAATTTTCTTTAATATGCATAAATTTATTACTACATACAACTTAAGTTTTAGTTCATTTATTTTTAATTTTAGCTAAGTAAACATTGAACTTTCATCAGTAAGAATTTAGGGACTGTAACCTTTAAATAGTCTTGATCAGATGGCTAATTTAAAGTGTTGACAGGGGCACCTGGGTGGCTCAGTCGGTTGAGCGTCTCACTCTTAATTTTGGCTCAGGTCATGTTCTTGCAGTCATGAGATTGAACCCCACTTTTGGGATTTTCTCTCTCTCTCTCTTTCTGTCCCCACCCATCCCATCAAAATATGGGGCGCTTGGGTGGCTTAGTCAGTTAAGTGTCCCGACTTTCGCTTAGGTCATGATCTCGCGGTTCGTGGGTTTGAGCCCCGCGTCGGGCTCTGTGCTGACTGCCAGCTCAGAGCCTGGAGCCTATTTCAGAGTCTGTGTCTCCCTCTCTCTCTGACCCTCCCCTGCTCACGCTGTCTTTCTCTCTCCTAGAAATAAATAAAAATATTAAAAAAAAAAAAAAAACCCAAAATAAATCAAGTTAAAAAAAAAAGTGTTGATGCATTGTCTCATTATGTTTCAAGAGGAAGTTTTGACCAGTAATTGTGTTTAGGAGAACAGGAAGCTACAGTATGAAGAACTGCTCATGGTCAAGTGGTCTTGCAGTGGAACCCCACTGACTGCCCACCGTGGCCTCTGGTCTCCCTTCCCTGGAGCCATGGTTCACTTCCCCAGGGGCTTCTCTGCGCCTGTGCACCCAGCTGGTGTCTGTCAAGAGGACAACTGTACCATCAGCTGCTGGTGTCTGCTGACCCTGTCCCAGAAGAGCTTCCCGAGCTCCAAGTTCCATGTCTTGTTTGCAAGTGCAGCTGCGGGGATGAGTGATGAGCAGCTAGACTATGGTCACCGAGGGGCCACTGTTAGTACCTCTGGGCTATGCTTCTCTGTCTGCTCCTGGAGGGACTGTCCAACATCCGAATGCTCCCTGCTCTAACTTACTGCTCTGCAGCTGGACCCCCTCAGGCTTGTGACTATGCTCATACGGACGCTGCTGGGCTGCTGTGAGATGCGTGTTGTGTTTACTGGAAGAAAGAAAGTATCTGCCTGCACCAAATCATTATTTTTTCAGGCCCTCCATGAGAACAGTCCATGAAGGCCTCAGAAATCTTAGATTACTTTTTTTTAATTAATTCACTTTGATATCATTTTATTCACTTAGGTACTATTACTTCTTTTTATAACTAACAGTTCAGGTAAAGAAATGACTGAATTTCAAACTCTATTGCCCCTTTGTCTTTTGTAAACACGCAGTTTCCTCTCTGTATTCAAGGAAGGGGGACTATGCACGCTTCCAAAGCTTGTTCCTTAAAGTTCCCTGCTGCACAACACCAGAGGTCAGTGGATTCTCGCCCGCTAAATCCCCTCTTACTGCCTTTATTGGTGGTTACTGTGGTTTGACAACTCGGCATCACACCAATGAGCAGAAACTTGTAACAGTGCCTCTTTGGTAAGGGCGCTTAATTTGGGTAGATCTATGTTATATCACCTTCAAGGGAAATACGGCAATTTTGCTTTTGTGGCTGGGGACATCATGACAATTATTTCCTGTATCTTGTGAGCATGGGCTGGAAGCTCTCAGCTGGGTATCATCATCAGCCCGAGGCTCAGACAGGTTACATCCCTTCACCCACCATGCACAGCTGGTACATAGGGCCTGAGAAGATTCAGACCCAGGCTGCCCAGCCCCCGGGCCTGTGCCCTTTCCTCCCAGCCACATGGCCTCCTTATGAATGGGAAAGGGGCTCTCGGTGTCCTAATCTGCTCTCTACTAGCGGGGTGACTTCAGCCAGGCGACTTAATCATGGTGTTCTGTTCCTTGCTGAGAAACTGGCATAATGATGTACTATGTCCCACATTGTTGCTGGGAGGCACTCAACTCGAGTGCACAGCAAGGCCCCCGGTGCTGTGCCCCCTGGGCTGGGTGGACCTCCAGACCCACAGCACCCCTGGACAGCTCTGGGCACAGCCCCCTGTCCCGCCCGGCGATGCCCCACACTGGCATCTTCCTGCACTTGCCTTACTGTCATTTATTATGTGCTTCCTGACGCCAGGGCAGATGTGTTTACTTACCCTCTAACATAAGTGTCTACATGCAGAGTAGGTGCTCAGTAAATGCTGTCAGGTGATTAACAGACTTATTTCTGATAAATTAGGAAGGAAATCATATGGCTCTATGTCTGCGGGTGTCTGAGGAGCAGACAGCAGCCTTCATCCCCTGCAGCCCCTGGCAGCCATGCCTGGGCAGCAAGATGGCTTCCAAGGAGTGAAAAAACGCTCAGGAGTTGAACCTCAAAATCACAGCGTTGTGACAAATTCTCCCAAATGGTGGGGCTGCAGAGAATGGGCTACCTCCTGGCAAGGAGAAGAGATTCTCTCTCCGAAGCTCCCTGGCTTTCCTCCCTCACTGCCTTTAGTGCAGAGCATACAACGGAGCCTTACGCCGAGCATTTCACCCACAGGAACCACGAGCAGTCTCGGCCATGTATTTATTCTACAAGATCCGCAAAGCATGTTAGTGCTCTCAGCCTCAGAGTAAATAGCTCCCTTTATTTTTAATAAATCTTTTGTGTGTTATTACACCACTTGGTTTCAGTTTGAAATCATCCAGATACGCTTTACTTAAGACTTGAAGCAGCAGACAGCCACACAGTGTCATCTGTAGGCAAATCTTCACTTTCCTAGAAAACCTCTGGGGACAGGGCAGGGGAGGGAACGGGGGTAGAAGAGAAACCGTAACGTGCACATTTAATTTCTCTAAGGAAACATGACTGTCATTAGCAATGCTATCGTGTCAGGATCCACCTATAAGGTTTGCCAAGTGGTTCTCAAAGCAAACGGTCAGACTGGCACACGGTCTGCGGCTGAAGGGAAGGTGGTGCACACAGGAAACGGCTTCCAGGGGTGCGGGACTCCCAGCCGCAGGGCTGGGGCCGCCCTGCCTCAGTGCGAAGAAAACGTAAGCGCTCACTGACCTGCGGTGCTCACCATGTACTTCCACTTGACCACATAGGCATCTCCCTCGTGGAACTGCCCGATGCTCTGTTTCGGGAGCCTGCTGTAGTCAAACTCTAGGATGTGCCAGACGTCCACAGAGACGCTGGCGATCTCAAACTGCCTCCTGTCGTCCCCTTCCACCAGGCCATAGCCACGGCCAATGTTCACCCCGTCCAGCACTGTGCTGGTTGTAGTCTGGGGCACCGGCACCATCCGCGCCACATCGTACGGCTTGGCTTCTGCCCGAGGGTCTTCCTATAAGGGAATGTAACAACGTTGGTTCAGTGGCCCGGTTCTGGAGCCATTTCCTGTCACACTCACTGCTGTTTTGCTGTTAAGCTTTCCAGCTCTGGCTCAGCGTTTAACTGCGTTTGGGGGAAAGACTGTGGAGGCCTGAATACCCATCCCGCAGCAGTGAATGGATGCCTATAACCCCCGGGACACAAACCGGACTGCTTCACCTCCTGGAGGGAGAATATGATTGGAAACCCGTTGGCTGGTCTCCCTGTAGACCCTGGGAAGGCTTGAGCTCCAAGGCCTCTTTTGTTCGGGCCTAAACTAAAGGTCTTGAAGTTTGAGACTTGATTACCCAAAATACCTTTTGCTGGGCAAGTTCGCTGGTGTTCTTTTCATTAGGTCTCTTCAGTTCGGTCCAGTCAAGAAACTTCTCTTTGAACAAAATCGTCTCATTGTGTTCTGTAAGTCTCCCGAATATTGCCCAGTCAGGCCGCCCCTGTCCTTTTCTGCAAAGGTGAGCAGGTGGGGGAGTAGACAGGAGACGGACTGAGATTAAGCCATGAGAAAGGGAAGGAAAGGAATGGAAAACAAACACACGTGGCTAACGAAAACAACTCAGAATACCTTAGTGGTAGGCAGAATGCATAGTCTATTTTGTCAGATAAGCCACATTTTTGTATTTCAGTCTGAAGCCTTGCAAGGCTTCGTGGAAGGCCTGAGTATAGTGTGAATCATGCGAGGACTGGACTTTTCTTTCATACTCGCAAATGCTTGCATTTGGGATCATCCTTGCCTACTTCATGTGCTCAGAGTCGCCTGCAAGTGCTCCCCAACGTTCCGTCACATTAGGGAATGGCTAGGAGGAAGACACAGCTTGCCCTGAATTCTCTGTTAAGTCTTGTTACAACCAAGCTCTCCGGTCTCTGGGAGCAGATGAAATTCTCCTCTATTACTAAAACGAGCATACTGTCATAGTGCATAAAGCGCATTTCCACATATTTATTTCTAGACCACCAGACGTGACAGCAGGCAGGGAGAACACAGGACACAGGACAGGAAGTAGCACAGCCCAACCTGGAGGCCTTCTGTGGCCTCGGGATTTCAGACTTTGAAACTGTTTGGGACACTGATAACGCAGAGAAAGGCAGAGTCGAGGAAATAAATACATGCTGAAGTGGGTTCGCACAGATATCGCTCATCCTTCCAAATCCCTCTTTGGCTGTGAACGAAGACCCGGATATATACCCGGTGAGCCTGATGAACAGTGCTTCCGGGGTCCTTCTGCCGCCCCTCCCCCATCACTTCCTGTCTGGTCACGACTGTGGCACATCTGGGAGAATGCCTGTACCGTGGGAGGAGGCACGGTGTTCTAACACCCCCACCTCGTACTCTCATGGGACTCAAGGAACCAAGTATCGGCAGCGATGGAGAATTTGGGACTCCCTTGCCAGGCTGTGGTCTTTAATAGCAAATGTCTGAATGACCATCTTTGATACAAATTCTACTCTTCAGGCTTGCCGGATGTCTCTAGAAAAACACTTGCTTTCAGCTTTAGACACGGATCCTTTATGGTGGGAGTCGAGCAAGCAGGAGAGGCCGTGGGTTGCAGGGGAGGGGGGAAGCCGAGAGTTTGAGGGGGGTGAGGTTCTCCCTCCCTGCTGACTTCCATGTTTCCACTGGGCTAAGTCAGGACACCTCAGTGCTTCGGCTTCCTCCTCTGCTAAGGAGGGCTGGGTGCTTAATCATGGCTGCACCTTACAGCCTTTGAGGAGCTCTTAAGACCTACTGACATACAGGCCCCACCCCACATGAACTGAGAACACATCTCTCGGGCTGGGGCTGGGCCTGGCAGTACATTTTTATAAAGCTCCTCGGGTGATTTTGAGCTGGGACATGTTGAAAACCAGAGAGGTTAGGCACTGACTCATCTACTCCCAGATCTGTGATTATCTCACTGCTATATATGTTATCTATCACGCGGATTTTATGCTTTGGCGTTACTGGTTCATTTACTATGTCAAATAAAATACTCTTCCGCCTTAGCTTCATTCCTTAAAACACCAGTTATTACAGGACTGCTTTTTTGTTAAATGTGAATTTCATTAAACGGATTTGAAAACTTTTCACCTACACTGACATAATTCTTTATTGTTTTTATAATAATAAAATCAGTAATTTGATTTTTAAAACAAGATTAGGCAGGGAAGTTGCAACTTGTAGACTAGGTCAATGCAAAATATTACAACCCAGTTGTATGATACCAAATGTTTGTTCTCTGCTGTTTAGTGGCACATCTATTTCTAATCTATTATATGGCATGCATAATTTAAAAGCACTTATTCCCCCCTGGCAGTTAAGAAAAACAACAACAACCGTTTGCATGTAAGAATTATTTTTTGTGGGGTGCCTGGGTGGCTTAGTCGGTTAGGTGTTTGACTTTGGCTCAGGTTATGATCTCACGGTCTGTGGGTTTGAGCCCCGCATCGGGCTCTGTGCTAACAGCTTAGAGCCTGGAGCCTGCTTTGAATTCTGTGTCTCCCTCTCTCTCTGCCCCTGCCCAATTTGCGTTCTGCCCCCCCTCCTCAAAAATAAGTAAACATTAAAAAATATATTTTTCTTACGATTGTATTTCTTAGAGTTTGTGCATATTCTGCTCATTTGCCAAAATTACTTTTTTAAAATTTATTTATTTTTGAGAGAGTGTGAGTGGGGGAGGGGCAGAGAGAGATGGGGAGAGAGGATCTGAAGTGGGCTCTACATTGATAGCAGCGAGTCCAATGCAGGGCTCAAACTCACAAACCATGAGATCATGACCTGAGCCGAAGTTGGATGCTTAACCGACTGAGCCACCCAGGCATCTCCAAAATTACTTTTTTTAAAAAAGCCCAGGACACTGTAGGAAATATTAAAATTACAATCATTATTTCAATACAACACCCTCCCTCTTACTTTGTCTCCCAAAAGGCATAAACATCATCTACTGCCAAATAAATGGTAAATCCTGGAAGCTACGCTGAGAAGGTGTGAAATGAGAAGGAAATATGTTGCTTTTGCACCTTCAGATCCATGGCTGAATTCCAGATCCTGGGAAGCTTTTCAGACCAGCATGTAATTTGCTTAAACAATTGCTATTCATCTGCCAGGGCAGCGCAGCACCTGGAAGACTGCAGGTGGGAACAATTTGTTTGCCTCCAGACACAAGCTAGAATGCAGCGTCCAGGAGACAACAACATCCATATTTCTGCTGCAGTTAGGCGGGAGCCAAAAGAAATGCTCTTTGTGTGAATATTTGGGTACCGCCTGCTGTCAGTTATGAAGAGGAAAGCCTCTGGAGAGCCACAGTCGGTGGGCACAGTGCGAATCCCCGGCCCGTCCCCACCGTCAGCAGATGCCGGGAATACCTGGGAATAAGTGGATTGCACTCTCCAGGGTCCAGTGGGTTGATGTCACAGTTCTCGTAATCAAAGGTGCCATTCCATAAGTGCTTTGCCAGCTGGAAAGCTATTTTCCTTTGTGCTAACGTGACTTCTTTTCCATGCCACACATACACCTCACTGCCGAAATCAAACACCAGTACCTGGGGAAATGGCACAGAAGAGGTGGTTAATTTCAGAGCCACACTCCAGGTGAATCAGCATCCCTGTGGATAGTGAGTCAAGTAGGTGAGGATATAAACCCCAGTGGAGCAATCAGTACAAACATGAAAAGATACAAGAGTCTGCCCGGCTGGCTCTGCCCTGATCCCCTAGTCTCTGCCTCGTGGGTGGGATTTCCATCGTGTCCTGAACTCTCCAACTCCGTAACACCCCTCACTCATAAAAACAGTTGTTTGGCTATGTCTTCCTATCTTCCTTCTTTCTTTTCTTCTTCCTTGTCTCCTTCCTTTGTTCATTCATTCACTTAGCATACATACAGGCCTTCTCACATGCCAGGCACTGAGGACCAGTGAGGGCTTCTCTCCTCTGTACCATTCCAACACCCTCAAGGGGAGAGACTGTACCACACTCATGTTTACAGTAGGGATTTGCTGTTTGCCGAATGAATATGTGAATGTAATGCTATTTTTTATTTCCATGCCTGTGGTGTATTCTACTCTTTCTTCCTAGAATAATTTCTTCCTTCATGTCCAGCCATCTAAATCCTACTCAACTCCCAACCAGGTTCAATTTCACCTTCTCTTTAACATTACTCCTGATTATTTCTTTCCTGTGATTTTTGTTCTCATTTAAATGCCCATACGTAGCATACACTCCATCTAGCTTTGGGTTACATCCTTTCTCCTCTTTTCAATGAAACTTAAGGTTCTTTTGTGTCTTCCACTTTTTTTGTCAACGTTTACAATACAGAATGGTAATGACAACGTATGCGCTTAGTAGATACCAATGTGAGAGAAAAAAGCTAGTACATCCCTTGGCAAACCCAAATTCTATATACATGCATCTATTATTCCTGAAAGTTCAAGACTGAAAAAAATATAATGCTCATAGAAAAGCAAGAGATAGGGCTAAAGAGTATTTCTATTTTATTCCCTGTTTATATTGAGATATAACTGACATGCAGCACAGCATAAGTTTAAGGTATAAGGCATAATGACTTGACTTATATAAGTTGTGATAAGTTAACATCCATCACCTCATAGAGATACAAAAAGAAAAAGAGTACAAAAAGAAGATATGAAAAAAAAGAAAAAAATTACATTTTGCCTAAAACAGAAAAGCCTTCAATGACCCATGACTGAACAATATTTTGAATTCTGTATTCGTATTTGGCATGGCAGTCATGGTTTGAATTCACAAGTAAATATCCTTTAAAAATATGTCACTGTTCGGGGTGCCTGGGTGGCTCAGTCAGTTAAGCATTTGACTCTTGATTTGGGCTCAAGTCATGATCTCATGGTTCACAAGTTCAAGCCTTGCAACAGGCTCTGTACTGACAGCGCAGATCCTGCTTGGGATTATTCCTGTCTCTCTCTGTCCTTCCTCTTCTTGTGTTCTTTATGTCTCTTAAAACAAATAAATAAAAACTTAGATAAACAACAAATAAAATAAATGCCACTGTTCAACAGCAGGCACTACACTGACCAGTGGTTCTCGAGTACTTTCTATCTTTTTATTGGGTAGCCCTGTGCAAAGTGCTTTCTCAGTGAGGGTGGCATCCATGCACTGTACCTCTTTTGACTGCAGAAGGGAGCACTTTGGAATTTTCCCCCAGTAGTCATCATCGGGAACAAGTTTGTCATCCATCAGACGGTAAATGCAGTTTGTTTCAATTATGGCTGTCTCATAAAGTTCATCTTCTTTTGGGTCTCCGGCGGCTTTGGGATGAGGATGAGAACAATAAGACAGTCTGACATGTTACACTGAAAAGTGGCTGGTTAGAAGAATGAGGTAGGGAGTATGAAAAGTCTTGTGATTCTCTGAAATACAGTAAACGCTTACACTGGTAACTGGTTTGGCCACCCAGAAGCTTCCAGAAGTCTTTGGCTGCGTGGGTGTGTGTATTAATTCCTTCTTCGATAGTTTGGATATAAGTAGCTCTACAGCCAAGTTCCCTCTTTGTCTGAATTAAACTCGCCAGTTCTGAGGCCTGGAAAAAGGGAGGAACACAGTTTCCTGGGTAGGCAAGCCTGTGGCTAGGTGGAGGGGAGAAATTGTGGGTCTGCGAGGAAAACCAGATGGCCACAGGGGCTGCAGGCAACTGGTTGTTGGGTATTTTCTGCCAGGTGAGAAAATATAGCAGGGATACAATTCTCTAGAGCAACAATTCTTTCTTTTCAAACTTAAGAGATTACTTGTGAAGTTTCTGATAAATGACCATTCTCTGGGCTTCTCCCCAAGAGATTTTCATTCAGTAAGTCTGAAGCAGCCTTTCATAGGTACCAGGGACAAACAGCTCTGAAGCGATATGCCACTTCCTTTTTTAAAACACAGGAAAATAGGACTTAAAATCTGGAGAGAAGAGCCATAATCCTTCTAAAACATCCCACTCAAGCACCTCGTGAGTGCTTGTTTGAGAGACATTCGGCAAGTACTACCCATCCCTTCTCACTTGATTTTGCATTTGAGAAGCCCTTGTAATGATCTAGCAACTATAGAACATTCTATTGCTGTGAAAAGGAGATGCTTGATGGAACAGTTTTTATTTTTCAGATACCCACCTTTGCCTTCTCTATGACATTTGCAAACTCTCCTACCCACAGGAAGCAGTGATGGGGAGAGAGCAGGAGGAAGCAGTCCCCGCTGTTGAGTGACGAAGCCCGCGGTTCAACCAGTCGTGTCTGCACATGTCTCCTTCCTGTGGGGCGGGAGGCAGAGAGTCACCATCTTCCCAGAGAGGAGAACTCTCCAAGCCACAGGAAGGACCAGGAAGCACCTCTGCTCCAGACCCTTGCAATTCCAAAGATTCTTATCTACCAACACCAGTTCTGAGATGCGGGCTGGTGGGAGGGGGTTTGGCTTTACACGCTACTCTCCCTTGTTAGTATCAGGACCATCAATGGTGTCCTTTCACAGCACACGTGTGGATTAATTAAAGTCCCTCCTCCAGGAAAGTTAGCAAACATGCTCCTTTTCCCTCAGTGACTCCTCCCCTAGTCTCTTTCTCTCTGCGTGGCCCACCTCCTACATTTCATACGTGCTGCAGGTGAGGACAGGCCTACACGGTGTCTTCTTCCTGGGGGTTTTCATCTGAACTGAGGGTGGTCTTCGAGGGCATCAGCTAGGAGGGAGGCACTGCTTTGTGCTGCTTCCCACACCTTCACCTAAGTGAGTGCTGATTTAGACCTTTCCAGTCATACGGATAGTGGTGTCTCTGGGTCATAACTTGGGAATAGAGGGTTACCTGCACTTGTCGCTCATCTTCTGCTACCACTGAAAAGGCCAGTGGTAATGTAGAGACACACAGGACACCCGCAGTGAAGGAGATTTCATCCGACCTCCTCTCGGTTACTCTAGCAGCTGTCACTTGTCTCTAGCTTGTGGCTTCTCTGGCGCTCTCCCGTGTCAGTGACAGAGAGGATGTTGGAGTGGAACCCAGGTGGCTTTCACCTACCTCTGCTGTCCCTGGATTCCTTCTCCAAGAATTTGCATGTCTCCCTCTGGCCCACGCAGACCTTGGTTTCCTCGGCAAGGAGGAGTGAGTGGAGAGAGCTGCCATGAAGGCTAAGGGGGCATCTGGAGCTGCATGACTGTGTGGTGGCAGGGCTCACGGGGCAAGGGGGGGGCGGTGGGGAGCAGCAGCAGCTGACCTTCTGGAATAGGAGAGACCTGGTGGCAAATCCAGCCCTGCTACTCGATGGCAGCTTTGACCCCAGTCACATCACTGACCCCTCTAAGCCTCAGTGGGCATAGTATCTCCCAGTTCATGGGATCTTGGGAAGCTCCCAAGGCAGGGGGTAGCATAGCACCTGGCACATGGCAGGTGCTCAAAAAGCATGCGTTCCCTTCTGCTTACGGTCAGGACTCCTGACGTCACCAGACTAAAACCCCGGGCCAACATGCCACTCCTCTGCGCTGCCCTTAAATACCTTTAATCTGCAACAGCATCAGCTTCTTGTAGGGCACTGCACTGTTGTTAGAATTCTGTTCGGTCAGGTTGACGCTCCGCAGGCTGACGTTGCTGAAGTTTTCTTTACTGGCTAACCCTGCCAGGGTGACTTCTGAGAAGTTGGAGTTGGAGGACACTGGGAGGGTTGAATAAGGAAACAATGCGGGGGCATGGGGAGGGAGCAAGATGGGCAGGTGAAATGACAATGTTTACAGAGATTCAGAACCAACTACCTTTTTCTCTGAAAGTTAATCCCGCAGGGGAGAACGTGTCCTGGTTTGGTATACAGTTCAGTGCTGAGCCACCGTACTAAGGGTTTAACCCTGGCACTGGAGGGCTAGGCTGCGTGTTAACACACGTCACACCTCAGCTTGCAGAGAGACAAGAACTGAGGGACAATGTGGACCAGCTGCTGTAGTTTCTAGAAAATCAGGAGCTGGACTCGTGTGTTGCATTTCCACTGAAAGCTGTTACACCTCCTGACAATCTTTAGATGTTAATGCAAATGTGCCCCTAAGGAAGACCAGGAGCTGTCTTCTAGCAAAGTCTTTATTATGTAGGGGTGGTTTAGTCCTAATCTTTTTCCTGGAGGCAAAGTGATCAATTAGCTAATCTCCTGAGGTCTCCTGCTCCCGGGATTAAGACTGTAATAACAAGATGCTGGCCAACAAATGTGTATGTGTCATGTGTCTATCATCACAACACTATCCCCAAGCCCCCAAGAGTGGAGGTGGAGGAGAAGTACCTAAAATTTAGGCCAGTAAGCCTTTATTTCTTTCACCAATTGTTCAAGCGTACAAGCTAGAGAGAAACTCAAAAAATTATTTCGCTGGGATTAGGTTTTTTCTTACACCACATCTCAATTCATATGGCATAGCAGTTTTGACATGTATTTTCTTAGTCAATCAGTTATAATGAAAAGACTCAACCACTTCATGTAAATACCGTGTTTCTCAGAAAAACTTCAGGAAGTAGGTTTAGGAGCGCTAAAGGAAAACACAAATTATAGGGAGACTATTCAAACTAGCAAAACTGTGTATGGTATCAGCCCCACCAAGAATAGCACTGTTTGAGAACTGCAGAAGGCCACGTTACCAGGCTGAGGAAAGCAGAGCGTGGCTCACAGGCGTGGCACCTGGAGTGGATCACAGAGCGAGGAGCGCTCTCCTCACTCCCATTCAGCGCCTCCAGCCCAAACCCAACCCACATCCTGACTCCAAGGCTCCTGAGGCTCCTGCCAAAAGCAGTTTGGAAAGCATTGTTTTACGCGTTAATTAATGATACGAAAAATCTAGGATTAGGAAAAAGCAGCAGTTTGGGATGTTTTCTCATGAGAGATCAAATGATTTGCTCTTGAGCAAGATTAAGTGGGGAATTACTGCACTCGGGCTCTGCAGAGCTGAAGACATGTTCAATTACAAAGCCCAGAAACATCCTTCTCTGATCCCTTGAAAGGAAACTCAGCCAAGCAGGATAATTTAAATTAACCAAGTGAACAAATGCTCCACGCTGTAAGAATTTCTGTGAAAAGCCTTCAAATTCCAGGCAGGTGTGTACATGTGTGTGCAAACTTACTCATTTTTATGTGATGAGCGTCTTTTGGGCACGTTATTGGCCTTAGCAAGGCAAAAAAGGAGGATTAAAATCACCTAATCAGCAGTTCCCAAGCAGAGGCAGCGTGGTGGCTCCACATACTCACTCTTTTCTACTTTCATCCGCTTCGACTCCATGAAGGCAACGTTTAGTCTCTGCTCCGTGTACTCCTGGAGGAGATCTTCCCTGGCTGCCAGCATTTTCAAGGGATTTTTGGAAGCCTGAACCCGGCGCTTGGGCCTTACCGCGCGCTTGTGCTCTGCCACAGAGGAGGTCAACCTGAGGAGGAAAGTGGGGCTGCGACCTGGGTCTGCGTGTCATCCACGCCTAGTTTATCTGGGGGTCTCTGACCCGAAGCGACGGTCTCTGCAATTTCATTTCCTGGTTTTGTTGTAAGTCTTACAACTCCCCCTCCTTCCCGCCACTCCCCGACGACATGGAGACAGAATCTTGGAGATGGGGAGGTTCAAGTCCATTTCGTCTCAAATCCCAGAGGCTCTCCCCACACCATGCCCTGTGGTCTCTGCCTGGAGGCTGATTTCACTACTGGATGGCTCTGAAAGGTCAGAAGTTCTTCCCCACTTTCATCACACTTACAGACTCTTCCTAATTCTCCTGTTGGAATATTACATACATGTTCTTCTGTCCCTGGCTAGCCCTTCAGGAATTTACAGCTAGCCATTGCTTTTTGACTTAATTCTCTCCCGATACTAAACTTTCTCTTTAGAAAACAGTTTTCCAGTTTCCTTATGAACTCCCCCTCAACTAGCCTCCTCTCAGCCCTTTGTTCCTTTCTGAAGAATAACCATGACTCTGAAAAGTGTGTTGAAATAAAATAAGTCCACAAAACCAACTGTAACCAACATACACCCACTCAACTCTCTGAGCAGACATGGGGAGGTAGGCGGTCCAGTCACATGGTTTCCTAACAGATTCCGCTGCTGTTCTCAACTTCCAACTGCACAGTCTCTGTGCTATCATATTATATATAATATTGTCCTCTGTGTGAGTGTGTGTGCATAAACATAGATGTGTGTATGTTTATATATAATGATTTAAGTAATGACATTTGGGATGGGAGAAGATGAGAAATATATAAATAACCGTGTATACAAATACACTAAGTATCATTTAAATGTGGGAAATTCTTCGCTTTTTAAAAAAAGAATTTTTAAGTTTATTTATTTATTTTGAGAGAGAGAGAGAGAGAGAGAGCACAGATGCATGTGTGAGTGGGGGAGGGACAAGTAGAGAGGGAGAGAGAACCCCAAGCAGGCTCTGAGCTGTCAGTGCAGAGCCCACATGGGGCTTGAACCCATGAACCGTCAGATCACAACCTGAGCTGAAAGTAAGAGTCAGCTCAACCGACTGAACCACCCAGGTGCCCCTGTTCGTTTTTTTTTAAAAGACAGAACATTTAGAAAACCTGATAAAATGGAAATATGCAATGAATGCCTTAGGAGCAGCTTAAGGAAAAATGTTTGATAACTACACAGACTTCTGAAAGAGACTGTCACTCTGACAAATTTGTGGGGAATCGACAAATGTGATTGGTAGCTGTGGGACTAGTCTGGCCATCATATATGCTCCCAGGCTTCTAGTGAGAGCACCTGGACTCTGGCTCTGTCTCCAAAGGGCATCCAGAGACCAGCTCTGGGCCAGTCGGCATCTTCCATCCCCTTGGCCACAGAGACTGCTTTAAGGCTGGGCTTGGACCCTAGAAAATCTGGAACTTGTGCTGGAAGGAACAATTGGGAAGAGAACCGTCTGTGCTGGGGTGGCCACGGAACCAAAAATTTGACAGCCGGGGTGGTCATCTTCCACAATGCGGTTATAGCCCAAAGGAAAATGAAAAGAGAGAGACTTCATTCGGAAGAGCCTCTGGAACCTGAATTCACACTGCACTTTTTAGCGAGTGAACCCGTAAATCCCTCCACACCTTTCTTTTGCCAAAGTCAGTTTGACTTGGGCTTCTTTCTCGCACCTTCAGTGAAGGAATCCTAACACCATAATTGCTTTCCTGAGGCGGGTTAGCCATGATCCTGTGTGAAAAGAGACCTTGGACTGTCAGATCTATTAATTTCATAAATTATTGTAAGTTAAATAACATGCTCTCCTGATTTTCTAGTTAGCTGTATGAATTTGAGCCCATGTGATCCAAAAGTTTTTCAAAGCTAGGAGTAAGGGTTCGACCTGTCAGGTGAAAGGTATAGAGATCTTTGCTAAATTTATGGGGTGGGGACAGAATCTAAAAACCTGCAAAATGATAATCAATTACGTAACAAATCCAGTGACATTATTTTTAACAGGCCAGAGCACACATCTGTGGCACACGCTGTGTATGGCAGACCTTCTGCCGGGGCACACATCTGCTCTGGAGTGCACGGGTTTTCCCTACCCCACGGTGCTACGTGGCTGGCTCTGGAGAGTAACAACTTGGCTGTAATGAGGTTCTGGTCGCAGAAGGAGATACAGTGAGAGAAGACCCTCGTGGAAGTGCTGTGTGGAGGCTGATGTAGGAATCTGTTCTCCGTGGGTGAAAGACGGAAACTCAAATAACTCACTTAGGGGCATAAGGGTCGAAAATGACATCGAAGTCGTCGTCCAGCTCCACAGGGCTCCTCGGTACGGTGTAGTCCATGCTGCGGTAAAATCTGGCAAAGGTTTCGTCATCGTCCAACTTCATCACCTCTTTAACAGATTTACCGGTGACCGTGAGTATGGTTTCCTGCATCCCACCAACTGAGAACAAACGAAGCAAATAAATGATGTCAGATTCGTGTAAAAACACTACTCTGACTAAGCCCTCCAATAGCTTAAAAATGAGTTTCCCCCTATGTTCCAGGAGTGGAGAAACATGGTAGTGATGCCCGGGGCTCCGTGGATGATTCCTGGGCCTTATCTGACGTGTCAAGAGAGGACTTCTTATCTGAAAACAGCTTGCGGCATGCAAATGGTAGGAGACAGGGAGGTAACGCAAGCCCACTGAGCGTGTCTGCGCTTGTTACTTTTGCTACTGGAGGCAGAGCCAGCCTCAGTCTAATTCTAGATCAGGGATCAGTAAAAACCTTTTCTGTAAAAGGCCGCATAGTAAATATTTTTGGCTCTGCATGGGAGGCTACATGATGTGTTGCACGCATCAACTCTGCTGTGCAAAAGTGACTACTGGCAATACATGAGCAAGTGAGCATGTCTTCGTTCCAATAAAACTTCAGGAACAAAAGCAGATGGAGAGCTGGATTCGTTTACTGGCCCCTGGGCTAGATCACAGCTACAGATACGTAGTAAGCTTTGAATTGTTTGAATTTCTTGTCTTGCCAGGTTAGTTACTACATTACACTTTTATGTGTCTCATATAAAGTGCTTTTCTGTATTATTTCCAACCTATTAGGGGGTCACTGTCAATGACAGTGACTCCTAGGGCTTACTATTCGATCAGTTTCAAGTACTGGACATTTTTATTAAGAGATGAGGCTATTTCTGCATATTATTCTTTTACTTTGTATACTTCATAAACTTTTGTATTGAAATATTTAGTTCAGCATTTATGTGGATGTCATCTGCAATAAGATGTGTCAACTGCTCCCTTATTAGAAACTGACCTGTACCATTCACATTTCATCAGGCCCAAGATCATGTTGATTTTGTGTCATACCTGCTTTCAAGTATAAAAGCCACATTACCCAGTTCACACTACCCAGTCCTGACTGCATGACATCCCAAGGATTGAGACTCAGGAGCCAATCTTACTGGAGGTCCCCAATTTAGTACATTTGGAAGTAAATCAGACCTTGGTAACCCAATCATTCTTCCTTTTCAAATAAAAAAGATCATACATTTACTAGGAATTGACGAAGTCAGGTAGAAAGAAGAGAATGTATCTGAGGAGAAGAAGCAATCAGAATTGTGATTTGGAGATTCTGAGAGAGGAGCAGCGTTTTTTACAGGTTTCCTTAGCTGCTCGTTGAAATACCAATTATAGTGAGCTCTAAGCACGAAAACCAAAGCTTCTCTCTGGTTTCTGGAAGGTACCTTTGTTATTCAGCCTTCTTAGAAAGGTTTCCAGCCTGTCCAACTTCAGGTCCGATTCCAACTGCATGTCTGGTCTGGCTTCGATATCTAGGCAAGCAGAAACCATCCATGAGAGGTGCTGACAGCAAGCACTCTTCCGGTCTAAGACCCAGCGGGACACTGATGCCTCAGTGACTTACCTTCCAAGGGCTTAGAAACTGGCGTGGTCCCCCTCGTTTTACTGCAGATAGGAGACGCCACTGGAGTTATGGCGGCGGGGGATGCCAAGCCTGCAGAACATCACAGGAGCGATTTAGTATCTCCGGATCATTTCTGGAGATTCCCAGGACCCTAATGAAACTCTATGAATCCCACTGTAGGTTTTACAACTTCTAGAATTTGCACACATGCATGCATGTGCACACACATGTGCATTTGGCAGGTGCCGGGACTGTGTAGGACCACTGCAAATGTGCATAGAATTTTCGAGTTTCTAGGGGCTGTAATAGGTGAGAAGCTACTACGATGAAGACATGAGAGAAAACATGCTCATAACATGTAAATGGAGTAAGAGTGTACATGAGGCATCAGAATATACTTGAAGAAATGGAGTTGTGAGTTCTGAAGCCCCTCTGAGGTGGCAGAGGTAGTTCAAGAGAAAGTGTATCTGCACCATGTCCCATAGAAGAAGAGGAGAATGGACTATGTCACAGTAACTGGCAAGTGGCCCCTGATATTGGAGTTTTCCTGCAGGTGGGGATGAGGTGGGGGCAGTCTGGCCTTTGGGGGCATCCTTCAGAGTGTGATTTTATTCAGTAATAACCCAAGGAGCGCTAACCTTTTCAAAGACAGACACAGAAGAGGATACACTTAGATCGATTTATGATTGTTGAGGGGTCACATCCATCTCAGGTGTGGCTGGGAACTAGTGATGTGCTTTCACGTTTATTTACCAAGAAGCAGACTGGGGAATCTTTTAAAAGTGTAAAGGTGGGGCACCTGGGTGGCTCAGCCAGTTAAGTATCCAACTTTGGCTCAGGTGATGATCTTGGTTTGTGAGTTCAAGCCCCACATCGGGCTCTGCACTGGCAGTATGGAGTCTGCTTGGGATTCTCTCTCAGCCCCTCTCCTACTCCCACTTCAGCTCAAAATAAATAAAATAAAAAAATATGTATTTATTAAAAGTGTAAAGGTTTGGGACATATGAAAGAAAGGGACTCCAGCACAGGGAAGGTATCTGGTTGGGACAAGAAATCCTAATAAAGGCAAGGAAAAGCACTTTGTTCCTCACCTAAATAGAAGGGATTGGAAAGGAAAGGAACCAGTGCTTTTATAAAAAACAGAATGAAATGTTAATGTTCTCAGTATTCACTTGTAATAAATATGAAATCGTCAGATGAAAATGCACTTTCAGCATCCCTCAAAGAAGTGCATATGGAGAATACGTAATTAGGCACCTATGACTTACAAGGAAAAAAGAATGAAGGAATTGCTCTGCTCCTTCCTACTGTCAGCTGGAGAGGGATGTATAACAGCATAAAACTTTTAACGAAAAATACTGAAATGTAGCTTAAAATTTCAGTCTTAGGTGATATCCTAAAAGTATTTCTCAGTAGGTACCTATATTTGCTTGATGATGTCAATAAAAATTTAAACATTTATTTCAATAACCAGACCTGCAGAAGGTTTATATCAGTGAGGAAGCAAATGTCTTGAAAGATAATAAAGTAAGAGTTGGCATCACAGGCAGTACAAGTGCAGCTCGTCATCACCTACTAACAAGATGCACAGAAAAGGGACGCGTTCCTTAGCACAGAGATCATGAACTCTAAAGGGAGCAGAAGGGCCCAACTCTTGGATACCTGGCCCTGTGCACCGTCAGGGCGCTCCCTGCTGCCCGTTCAGGCAGCCACACGGGCAAGAGCTTCCAGGGGTGGGACATCTCTATCCCAACTAGGCAAGGGTTTTCCCTAACAGGAGAGGGCATGTAAATTTAAATCACACCAATAAGTCAGTCAGAGAAAGACAGATACCGTATGTTTTCACTCATATGTGGAATTTGAAAAACGTAACAGAAGACCACGGGGGAAAGCCAAGGGGAAGAAAGAGTTTAAAGCAGAGAGGGAGGCAAACCATAAGACACTCTTAAATACAGAGAACAAACTGAGGGTTGATGGGGGGGCACTAAAGGGGGGAAATGGGTGATGGGCACTGAGGAGGATACTTGTTGGGATGAGCACTGGGTGCTGTACGTAAGCAATGAATCATGGGACTCTACTCCCAAAACCAAGAGAACACTGTATACGCTGTATGTTAGCCAACTTGACAACAAATTATATTAAAATAAATAAATATTCTAAAATAAAAAGTTCATTATAAAAACAATAAACCACACAACAGTGTTAAACAAAGCACTCCCCATTCCTCTTTTCAGTGAATTCTACACGCAATAACCAGTCACCTACTCTCTTCACAGCTCCCTTATTCAAAGGCATACTTTGAGGAGAATCGTAGAATACCCGGAAACCTTGTGGATTACTAACTGTTAAGCAGAATCTAGGAATATCGCCAAGTGTTAATGAAGCTAGGGGAGAAAAGAGTTTTCTAAAAATCAGGGTCCAGCACACCTTTTGGCAACTTGCTGATATGTGGCGACCTGAGGAGGGGAGAAGTCTCTGCGGCTGTAGTGAGGGGGCTACTTTATTCTACAGTGAGTGTAGCACGCTGGATGCTACTGCCACAAGTCAGCAAGTGCCCAGGACACAAATGAAACATATAACTCAGCAGGTGGTAAAAACTATTAGACAAACAGGATACGGGTTTTTTTCTTCATTACATTAAAAGTACAGGAAAATTATTTCCTGAGCAAGCCAGATAGCACCTGTTAATAAAGATCTTGGATTTATTCAAGAAATGTGAAAGCAAACTCCTGCACAAAAGGAGAAGAATTTCTCTAGCCTTATTCTCCAAACTTGCATAAGAGCAAACCCGATTCCTCTGATGTCATTGTGGACAAGGGCAGTGTCTTTGGTAGGAAGGGCCTGCTTATGAAGTAGTGATAATTTTTAAGACAGAAGAGGGGAAAAAGAAGCCAAAGTAAAAAGTCATCAGGCAAAAGGTCTAGGCTACACATTGAAAGGCATGTTGAATTCCTAAGCAATGTGGGCTTCAGGGTCTGCTTTTGTAACATAGGGATGGGTCTCAGGACCAAGTAGTTTCACATGATTATACAGGTCTCTGATCTGATGAAGAAAATACGCAAATACTAGCTCACTCCGTAGGAGTTAATTATTTTCTGTCAGGATTTGAGTTAATCACAACTTGGGGGTCTCCCCTCCCTTCCTTCTGCCAATATTTATTATGAGCCTACAACAAGTTATGCACTGTTTATAAGTGAGGATCCTGAGAGGTTTCCAGAAAAGAGAAACATGAAGTGAGAACGCTGATGACCACGTAAGTGAACTCTAAATGCGTGTGGGCACTTTTGTCACTAAGTCCAGAACTTTGCTTTTAAACACCACCTTAGGAAATGAAGCTCTATGCATACAGGTGACAAAGGGACCCCAGATTTTAATCATTTCCCACTGGGTATGGACCTTTAGAGCTTTACTAACCATGTGATGCATAAAGTGACTTTACTAACCACATGATACATCAATTTCAGAAATCTTTCATATTGGCTTCAAATCAGTTCCAAGAGCTCAGTAGCAAAGAAATGACCATCTGCTGGGAAATGCCACTTCTTCAGAACTGCATATATCCATTAGACATCTACTAAAACCTATCTGGAAATAGGACTTTGTAAGTCAGAGAACTCTGGTCTGATGGAAAGGGACATAAGAATTCCTCTTAGAAAGAGAAGAGATAAACCCATTCTTTATTGACAAAGGCTTATTTAGGGTCAACTGATGGCCAGATGGTGAGACAATGAAAATAATTTAAAAGCAATTATGGGAAAGGACTAAGATACATCACCACATTTGCAATTGCCTTTGAAACCTGTGCTCCATTTCCAAATGGCCAAATCTTGAAAAGAGACTAGTTGACTTAAGCCACCTTACGTTGAAGATGGCATTATTCAGGAAGAAAGGGTGTTCAGTGTTCAGTATAGCTCAAAAAACCTACCCCAAAAACGCTTATGTGACTTCAATAAGAGGAAAAACTAAAAAAGATCGTGGCTTGATTTTTTAAATTGAGCTCTCATGTCCCACCCTGCCCGTCATGGGCAGCACAGCATGTGTACCCGCACACCCTTACCCACGTGCCCACGCGGAGTAGGTCCACCCCTCCCCCCGACTCTGACCTTTCTTCACCATCCTGCCAGCCACAGTGAACTGGGTGGAGTCATTGGCTGCTCCTTTGCCTTTGGTCTTCCAGGCTTCTTCTCTCACAGTGATGAGGTGCTTCCTCTCTTCGATAGTCATCTGGCTCTCTCGACTTTCTGTGACCCGCTGTTTATAAAGCGTACCGGGGAGAAAAGGGGAGAGGGAAATGACAGAGATGTGAATTTTAGCAGGTAGCATTCTGTGACCCAAAAGGCAGACAGGGAAACAAACAGGATGGCTACAGTGTCCACAAATGTCTGTAACTGATCTATTGGAAAGAACTTTGGCTTCCCTACATCCAGCTTGGGTTAGAGATCACCATCAAGGACAACGAAATTTAGGTTACAACTGTGATGGTTTTTCCCCATTCATTTGTTTGGAATATGGGAACACCAAAATGATACTTTGGAAAAATCAACTAAAATAGAGACTGTCTTCATGCCATGAATTTCATTGGGTTTTAAAGTTGCTCTGTTCTGGGCCACATGGGTGGCTCAGTTGGTTAAGCGTCTGACTGGCTCAGCTCATGATCTCATGGTTTGCGAGTTCGAGCCCTGCATCGGGCTCTGTGCTGAAAGCTGACGGCCTGGAGCCTGCTTCAGATTCTGTGTCTCCTTCTCTGTCTGCCCCTCCCCCGCTTACACTCTTTCTCTCTCAAAAATAAACAAACATTAAAACAATTATAATGTTGGTCTGTTTTACCTAGCTAAACTTGGTTGAGTAAGAAATTTTATCCATATAAGCTCACAAAAGACGGTCAATCCAGAAAAATCTCATCCACTTGCATCCATGAGGAACATGGTCAATTATAAGGGAGAGAAAGCTGATTCGGAATAAAGTGTGCTACAAGAAGGTTTTCTGGAACTCAGCATGCTTTTTCCTAGACAACTATGTTACACGGGCAGTTAGGCAGGCAGGTAGCCCATGAAAGTGACTTTTAGGCCCTAGTATATCTGACATTGAGGATAAACGGTACTATAGACATAACCTACATATAAAATAACATTTCTACCCAAAAAATGCTTTCAAAAGCTTCTAACTGGGGTCTTGAAGATACCTGCCTCTTCAGTTTGTAAGCCACTGGTCAACTCATTTGGTTTGGGTGAAAGAGGCTGAGGGGGTCTGAGGGAGACCAGGAAAGAGGCCTCCAGAGAGAAGTGGGCTGAGATGGGTGTATGAGGGGAAGCAGCAGAGGACCCGGCTCAGGGTACTTGGTGCCAGCACAGGGGAAGGAGTCTTCCAGGGACAGAGGGTGTGGATGGTGGCAGCGGGGGACACCAGGGTGGGAGGCCCTTAATTGGCAGTAGGACAGAGTCTGCCCCCCCCCCTCCCCCCCCCCATGCAACTGTCCTCTCACTGCCAAACCCACTCAAAGAGTGACTTGGAATTAGGGTCCTTGCACAGATCATGAGTGGGAAAGTTCAAGAGAAGTTTTTTTTAATTTTCTCGCAATTTATTTAGATCCAATTGGAAACGTACCCAGTGGCAGGGGCCGCAAGCCAGGGAGAGAAGCAGGGCAGGTGCGGTAAGTGAGCGCTGAGGAAGGCAGAAAGGAAAAGCCTCCTCCCCAGAGCAGAAGAGCCTCCTTCACTAGCTGTCCACCCCAGGGTGGCTCCCACGACGGAGGCTCTAATGCCAGCGTGGCCTCCCGGTTTTGTGCATTTGCTCTCACCTCAGCCTCTTCTCATAACCGAGGGATGCCCTTCCTGCCGGGGCCTTTGCTTGCAGCTGAGCTCACTTTAACCTCTGCTGCCAGTCCCCCCAGCTCCTCTTCCCTCGTGGGAAAGTCAGGAGATCCCCGAGGAGTGCCTCTGATCCTGTCCCTCCACGTGGTCCATCCCATGATGGCCGATTAGCTTCCCTTAACTAATCAATAGAAAATAACTTCCAGATTCATTCGACAAGAAAGCAGAGATCAGCCCAGTTCATCCTCCTAAAGCATTGGAGGAGGCTGAAACAGGAGAGGGTTCCTTCCTTCCTGTCCAGGAAAGATGTGCACGAAACCTCATCTACCCTGGCAACATTCGGTTTAAGCCATGAATGTGGCCTTCTCCATCATCTAGTTTGTGAATCTTTTATAGACGTCTTCTACAGAACAATCACCGCCAGAAGTGATTTTGAGATCCTTGGTAATTTAATTTAGGTTAAAAAAAAATCCTTTTCCTGAAGAGATAGGACAACTAAAACAATGCCTGATCTTGGCTTGGATCTTAGACGGAGCGGGGTGGGGGCTAAATGGGACATGGTTGGGGGGGGATGGACACAGTTGGAAATGAGCTGTGGATTAAACCCTGCAGCAGTGTTGAACGTCTTCCTCTGGATCACATTACTGTGGTTATGGAAGTGAGCCAGACGGAGTGTGTGCCCCCAAATATTGTACACTGAAACCTAACGCCCAATGTGATGCATTAGGAGGTGAGGCCTTTGGGGGGCATTTAGGTCATGAAGGTGGAACCCTCCTGAAGAGGATTAATGCCCTTATACAGGACACCCTAGAAAGCCCCCCTGCCCCTTCCACCATGTGAGGACAGCCACCATGTGAGAAGCACCTGGTCATCCAAGGACCAGTGAGAGGGCTTTCAGGAAACACTGAATCTACTGATGTCTTGATCTTGAACTTACAGCTTCCAGAACTGTGAGAAATCAATTTCTGTTGTTTATAAGCCACTCAGTATATGGTATTAGGGCAGCCCCAACTATAAATATCATGTTTGTGTATAGGAGACAGGACAGCAGGAAGTCAGCAGTGGGGGGTGGAGGCTGGGGTTGAGGGAGGAAAATAGACGTTAGTGGGGGCAGCCAACAGTCAGTGGCTTTGGTCAAGAGTAGATGACAGTGCCCCATCATGGTAACTTTTTTACAAGTTTTATAAGTTTATTATAGAGTTTTATCCAAATAAAATATCATCCAAAAGCTAAAAACCCTTTTCCTTCACTTTCCCACTCATGACTAGGGAGATGACCCTCCTTCCAAGTAAGTCTCTCAATCACATACCCTTATTCAATAAACTATGAGGTTGACTTGCCAGGAAGACCTCATCAAAATTCAAAAAAGATAATATGTTTTCTTTGAAAATGAAGTTTCAGGAACAATTTTAATCGAATCAATATAGTACTTGGCTTAAAACATTTTGAAAACACATAAGAAGGGCCAAGAAAGTTTGTTTCTCCAAAGATCCGGAAATCACTAGTTCTGGTGAACTTTGCGGCACATCTCCAAAGCCCTGGGTGTGGTTCATGACTCAAGAAAATGGTATCCCCGAATCAACAACTCTATCTCCCGAAGCGCTCAGATTCCCCCGGAGCTCCTAGAAGAACATGGTGGATCTGAGCCCTGGAATGATACAGCTGTTGCAGGCCTTACAGCTCCCAGTAGTCGGCCAGATCTTTGTTATGGAGTAAATTTTTGCTCCTTTCTCAATATTAGGATAAACATAAAAGGTTTTTTTGTCTCTAAAAGTTTTAACTATGCACTTAGTGAAGTTGGTTTAGTGTCACTGATTGCTTTATCTGATTTCAGAGGACTCTAATGAGGTAAGAAATGTACAACTTATTTATTCACTGAAAAAATTAATAGTTTCTCACCAGCTGCTATTAAATTTTGAACTCGAAATGCAAAAACAAGATACATATCTTTGCCCATTTACTTTTTTAGCTTTAAATTTCATTATTGTCTTGTTTTTCCCTGCTAAGCTTTTCTTTCCTAAGGACATAGTATTGTGTCCCAGTAAGTATTGTACTGTTTTCCAGGCTTGTGTAGATTTAGGTGATGATGTTTAGGATTGACTGGAATAGTAAGAAAATTGGGGCAGAATAGGAATAGAAGCCCTATCTGCCTTGTCCTTCACTCTTCAAATGCTGATCCCATAAATGTGGTGCCCAGAGATGGAGATAAGAAGGGGAAGGAACAGTGTGTGTGTGTGTGTGTGTGTGTGTGTGTGTGTGTGTGTGTGTGTGTAGGAGGAAGTGTAACAAGTGAAACAGTTGGGAAGTAAGGCAGGTCTTAGGGATGGACAGAGATTTGGTAGGACACAGCTTAAAAGTATGTAGAGTCAATCTGCAAGAATGTTTTTAGGTTACGGCATTGTTACTAATGTGCTTAATTCTGTATACCTACTGAGAATGCCTAGTACAAATCTTCCCACATGTCGCTGACACAGAGAGGTGATACAATAACAGACAGTGGATCTAACATGCTTTAATAGGATTATATTATCCTATTAACTAGAGAGCTTCATGGATAGAAAATACTGTGATCTGGCTTTTACATTTTTATCTTATTCACATCTAGTAAAACTACAGTGTTGGAAGAAGTTACAAGAGCACAGATGAACTAATAGAAAGTATGCAAAGTGACAAATAAGTGCTTCTTGCTTTTAAAAAAATGCTATCACCGTTTTGAATTCTGTGTACCGTTAAAAGAAATATGGCTTTACCCCCTCCTTTGCTGATTTCAGACCTCATTAGAGCATAAAGCCTCAAGTGGCCTGAACAAAACATGAAAAAAGATCATAGCTAGGCTTAGAGCTCAAAGTAACCATAATGTGGTCTTGCCACATCTACCAGGGACTAAGTGAAGGGAGGGGAATACAGGAAATCTTATTTTTGTACAGTTGGGAGGCATGTGAGGAAGAAGGAAATGTCTGTTAAAGACCAACAAAGAGACAAACAGTCCATTTAGACAGAATGTGTGCGCTGTTGTAATGCTCATTTTCTTTTCTGAGCCTCTGCACTAGTGAACACAGATAGTAGGACTGTGGGAGGAAAGGAGTCTCAGAGAACCCTGATGAGCTAATGCTAAAAGGCTGGTACATAAAATATTTATCTGAGAAAGTTTTCAATATATAAAAATACAGAATTTTAAGCCTACTTTAATTTTGAAGTGATTAAACATAAACTACCTCTGGTAAATGGCATTTTTCTTTAAACTTAAAAATATATGAAGTAATATCCCATGTTCATGGATTGAAAGCTTCAATATTGTCCAGATCCCAGGTTTTTCCAACTTCCTACAGATGCCAGTTCTTCCTACAGATCTGGTGCAATTTCAATAAAAATCTCAGCAAGTCACCTTGTGGATACTGACAAATTGATTCTAAAGGATGTATGGAGATGGAAAAGACCCAGGATAGCCAATACAAGATTGAAGGAGAAGAATAAAGTTGGAGGAGTGGCACTACCTGATTTTAAGACTTACTGTAAAGCTATAGTAATCAAGACAGTGTGGTAGTAGTCAAGAAAAAAAAAAAAAAACCAAACAGATAAATAGATCAATAGAAAGGAATAGAGAGGGGCACCTGGGTGGCTCAGTCAGTAAAACACCTGTTTTTTGACTTTGGCTCGAGTCAAGATGATCTCACAGTTTGTGGGTATGATCCCCACATCGAGCTCTGTGCTGACAGCATGGAGCCTGATTGGGATTCTGTCTCTCTCTTTCTCTTCCCTTTCCCCACTTATTCTCTCTCTCCCTCTCTCTCTCTAAGAAAAAAATGGAGAGCCCAGAAATACAGTCATACAATGTGTTACATACATTCAACTAATCTGTGAAAGGTCAAAGGCAATACAGTGAATGTAAGACAGTCTTTTCAACAAACGGTGTTCTAACAAGTGGACTTCCACATGCAACAACAGCAACAAAAGAAAGAAAAAAGAGAGAGAGAATCGAGACACAGACTTCACACCCTTCACAAAAATTAACTCAAGATGAATCATAAATCTAATTGTAAAATGCCAAGCTATAAAATTTGTAGAAGATAACATAGAAGAAAACTCTAGATGACCTTGAATTCAGTGATGACTTTCTAGATGTAACATTAATGAAAGAATTGACAAACTGAACTTCACTGAAATGAAAAAGCCTTTGCTCTGTGAAAGCCACTGTCAAGAGAATGAGAAGACAAGCCGCAGACTGAAAGACACATCTGATAAAGAAATGTCATCCAAAAATATACAAAAGGACTCCTAAAACTCAACAATAAGAAAACAACCAATTAAAAACTGGGCAAAGACCTGAACAGACATCTCACCAAAGAAGATCTATGGGTGGCAAACAATCATATGAAAAGGTGCTCCACATCACATGGCATTATGACATGTCATTGCAAATTCAGACACCTATGAGATACCACCACGCACCCATCAGAATGGCCAAAATCCAGAGCCCTGACAACAGCGAGTGCTGGTGAGAGTGTACGGCAATAGAAACTCTCGTTTGTTTGCTGGAGGCAATGCAAACTTGGGTATGGCCACTTTGTAAGACATTTCACAGTTTCTCACAAAACTAAACATACTCTTACCATATGATCCAGCAACTGTGCTCCTTGATACCCAGATGAGTTGAAAATCTATAGCTACACAAAAACCTGCATATAGATATTTATAGCAGCTTTACTCATAATTTCCAAAACTTGGAAGGAACCAAGATGCCATTCAGTAAGCAAATGGATAAATAAACCATGGTATGTGCTCGCTCCGGCAGCACATGTACTAAAATTGGAATGATACACAGATTAGCATGGCTCCTTGTGCAAGGATGACACGCAGATTTGTATAAAGTGTTCCATATTTTCAAAACAAACAAACTGTGGTATATCCAAGGAGAATATTATTCAGGATTAAAAAGAAAGAAGCTATCAAGCCATAAAAAGACACGGAGGAAACAAATGCATATGATAAAGTGAAAGAAACCAGTCTGAAAAGGCTACCAACTCAATGATTCCAACTGTATGACATTCTAAGTGTATGACATTCTAAGAAAGACAAAGCCATAGACCATAGAGACAATAAAGAAATTGCCAGGGATTAGAGGGAGGGAGGTATACACAGATGGAGTGCAGAGGTGTTTTAGAGCAGTGAAACTTGTCTATATGACACTATAATGACAGATACATGTCATTATGCATTTGTCAAAATCTAGAGAACGCACACCGAAAGTGAACCCAGATGTAAACTATGGACACTGGGCAATAATGTGTCAATGTAGGTTCAACAATTTTCACAAAAGTACCACTCTGGTGTGGGATACTGGTAGTGGGGAAGGCTATGTGTGTGTCTGGGGTGCGGGGTGGGGGTTGGGGGGCAGAAGATATATGGGAAATATTTATACTTTTGGTTCAATTTTGCTGTGAACCTAAAATTCCTTAACGAAATAAAGTTTATTTAAAAAGTGTGTGTGTGTGTGTGTGTGTAATACACATAATTTATCTTTAAAGAGTTCAATAATATATTTTTTCTTTTAAAGTTTAATATGACTGATTTAGAAGAAACAATCCATCCCTGCTCCCCCTTAGTGACAGAACAGCAGGTTTGCTCCAGAATTCAGCCTGTTTTTTGGGGTGGGCACTGCTATCTGTGTGGGGCTGGCCTCTCACAGACCAGCATTCTTAATGTCAGAGGAACCCAGGAGAGTGAGGCAAGAGGTTGCCTTAGGGAGAAAAATGGGGGATTTCCATTGCGCAGATGTAAGGTGAAACAGGGGGGCTCACCAGACATGTCTCTCTGACAGCACTCTGTCCATCTCATATTTGAAATGAGGTCTTTGCGCCTCTCGCTCAAAGACCTGTTTTGTCATCATGAGTCCTAAAGGAACAGTATAGTCGTGAGATTTTTAGTTGGAGGACACCTTAGAGGCAAGAAAATCCCCATTCCAATTAGGAGACAGAGTCCCTCGGAGGGAAGGGGCTAGGTAAGTTGGAGGCTAGAATCTTGGATTCATGACAAAGTGGATGCACGCACTTTTCATAGCTATTTTGACACCAGGGACATCCCAAGGGGAATAAAGACCAACCACGGGTATTTCTAGGTTTAAAAATCATCATGTACTATGTACCAACAGGATTATTCAGCCTAAGCCAGGTCTCCCTTCTGGGGTGGGGTTCAGATGAGGTGCTGTGAAGATGGAAGATAGGGGGCAGGAGGTCTGTGCTCCCTCATTTCAGTAGGTCACTGCAACCAGCTCCTGTCAGAATAGCCTCTTCCTTGCTCTGTCTTCCTCTCTGGCCCATCCACACCCAACTGCCTCCACCACATCTTCCTTTACCAAGCTAAGCAAGATAGCAGGGTTCCCAAGTGGATGCTTGGACATTCTGGTATATTCCTTGGGCTCCTGACTTAACTGAGACTATAATGCTTGGAGATGAAAAGGGAAGATTTTCCTCTTACACCAGGTACATGATTATGAGGTGAATTAATGCCATCAGGTCAACCTAAGAGTCTGACTCAAAGATGTGAAATGTGTGACTGGCTCTAAATATATGACGAACTGATCGCTGGCTCACTCGCTCACTCTCTCACGTGCACACACACAAACATGCACACTAAAATGCCGCAAATGAAACAAGTTCTTCCCTACTGCTCAGAAATTGCAATGAGGATTAAAATGTGTAGGCTTTTCCTCACCTGATTAATAGATACAAAAGACAGGTATTTATGGGCAGCAGGTATAGCAGGAGAATAAGTAGAAGCATATACAGGTTCCTATAGAGCAAAGCAAGAGGATTAGAGGTGAAAAGAGAAGATTTATCAGAGCAGGGTGGGGAGGAGGAGAGACAAAAACAAGGATTTCTTGACCAGAATGTTAATTTACTCATTGCAATTTCAGTTCGCTTTTCAAGAGAGTCCTTCCCGTTTGTCTGTTTTCTTAGAATGCTAACGTAGATCCACACGAGCACGGTAAATACACCTGCGTCAGGTTGGTATCGTAATTAACTGAATTAATGACAAGATTCCTGTAACTTATAGGATACTGGGTTCCAGTATAAAGGAACTATGACTTTAACTAACAGTTTTAGCATTGAATGTAAAATAACTCATTTAAAGTCTTTCAAGTTTTTCATTATATGACTAAAAAAATTAAAGTAACAGGATAGCTCTCTTCTCTGGATAGAGGTGGCATCACGCCTCGGGGTAAGAAACCAAACAGCGAGGGCCTACGAGGAAACCGTCACTGACGAGGGTTCCATATGGTGAGGTGGAGGTAGAATTCTGGCTACCATCTAGAGGCCGCCTATGTTAGAGTCAGGCTTACCCAAAGCAGATTAGAAATGGCACTATCATCTGCAAATCCTCCTTCTTCCTATAGGTTAAAACAAATAGGAAACATTGCGGAGTGCTGGAAGAGTAGGGTTAGGGTGTCACAATCATTTTCCAGGATTTTGTGCCTGGGTTCAATCAGACGCATGCGCATGCTCACACAGTCGGGTGGCCCAAACACCAAGTAAACTCACATTCCATCAGCGGGATGAGAATCTTTAATTGGGAAGTCATACCATAAGCCCTTTTCTCCCTCCTCCCTTAGGTCTTTCAAGAGACTTTCTCCAGAATTGTGATTTGGAATTTCAATGGCAGCAATTAGAACGTGAATTGACAGATTTACCTTCCTTGGATTTTCAAGAACATGCCCTGCTGGCATCATAGATCTTAGCTTGATTCCTGACCTGATACTATTGAGCACAGCAGGGTATCCAATCCATATCTGTGACTCAGACAAAGAACTGGGTGGTGATGGCGAAGTCTATAAAGGCATTTTATTTCCTGGAAAAAGTCTGATATACTGGATGATTATCTTACCAAACCACATGGGACTCACTATATGCCTTCATGTCAAATATGCCAAAATGAGGTTGAAATTTAGAATAATTACTTGATAAAAATAAATACATGCAATTGAGCTGTAAGAGAGAGACTCCTGCTTTTAAAATTTTGCTTCATTTTTCTTGCTCTTTGGATGGAATGAGCTACCCTGGAGGAAATGGTCTCCAGATCAGGCTCAAGTGCACACATGCTATATAGTATGGACCAGGCCGAATCTACAAACCAAATGGCCTTCTCATCTTCAGAAGTCATTATCGATGTTGCAAAAGCAACAATGTTTAAGTCAGGTTAGACTTGCCCTAGACTAAACTGAGAATGGAAGAAAGAAGAGAGGAGAAAAGAAGAGTGGCCTAGGGAGGAAGGGAAGGAAAGAGGAGAGAGAATGAACCCAGATTGGTTGTTACAGGAAATGAGAGAGTCAGCCACGTAAATGATTGCTGCTCTGAAGCTCCAAATCATCAACCTTGATTCTGGGGCAATAAATTTGGAAAGCTGAGAACTGCTATTAAGCTATATATTCTCTGAGACATGACTAGTCTTTTACTAGGGGAAGGAAAACTCTTAGTTCTCCAAATCTATTCACGGGCTAAAAGAATATTTCTTACCAGGTAGAATCCCAAACAAGATGCTGGTGAGAGCAACCACAGATTAGTTTTGTTTGGGGACCGACTCTTTGACAGAGACAAGACACTTACAGATTTTCATGGCATCCTTTCACTTTTTTTGTTTTTTAATGTGGCTTCTAGACAATCACTTATGTTGCTCGTACTCTATTTTTATTGGACAGCAAGGATTTTTAGAGAGACAATGGACGTGATTTCTATAGAGTCCTGTCTCTAGTTCCTGCCTCCTCTGCATTTCCACAGGCTGTAGTTTGTGGGACTGTGCTTACAATACCCAAAAGCTGGAGAAGGTTCAGCTGTAAAATGTTTGGCACCCAGAAATTATGTGCCCTACATGAATGCACAAACTGTGCTGGAAGGGATGCCCTGACTCTGTACCCAGCTCCCTTCCTCTCTTGGTGTTAAACATGGAAGGTACCAGAGCTCGCTGCTCTTAGCAGAGGTCTCCAGCAGTAAGTCTAGATCCAGCCCATGCAACAAGATCCCATCTGCATGCACCACGCGGCATGAAGGTGTTTCTCTGTCTGGGGCAGGATTCAGACACCCGGCAAGCAGTGGCATCTCTCAAGGACTCCTCAGCTGTGGAGGGACTGTCTGAAGACAGATTAGGCTCGAGGCACCTCACATCTGAGCCCAGCGAAGGTGTGACTGAAATATACTGCCACCCTTGGGAAGAAAAGAAGCCAAGGACTTATCAGGGGCCATGTGAAAACCACTTGACCTCAACAGGACTTGAGATTTCCCAATGTCTGCTACAAAAGCCTAAAATAGATCGGCTTATTTTAACTTCAAAGAGCTTACTGTCTCAGGCCAGAGTGAACTAGGTCACTGAGGAGGAGGAGGTGGAGGAATGGTGAGTTCACTACTGCTGCAGAATATGCAACATCCAAGAGCCCAGAGACATCCGTGCGCGCTCGGGCCCCAGCACTTCCGTTGCCTGCATTTCCACCCCCAGGGGCAGTTACCCGAACCTTCTCACAAGTCTTGCCTTCTGTAAACCTTAGCCAAGCATGAGGCAGTTCGGGTCTCACGCCCTATCTCACAGCCTTCTGGTTGTCACAGCTCACTTGATGCCCCAGTCTTCTAAGGGGGACGGCTCTTATCTCATTCACTCCTCACAAGGACTCTAGCTGGCCATGTGCGTGACAGCTGTATTTGAACTTTCCGCCTGGCCATATGGGACCGTCAGCTCCTACGGCTCCTTTTCATCTTCCAAAAAGACCAACAAGGGGTGAGTGTTAAAGTCAGTTTTTGAAGCGGTAGTTTCTAGACCCTTTTAAATAAAGTTTGTGGGCAACAGGGATACAATTGAAGGACCCAGCTTTTCTTTTTACTTCAAGATCTCATTCTTGGAACCCAGATTTCACACCTATGCTTTTAAATATCCAATTGTACTGGAGAACTTCACAACCGGCTGAAATCACATGCCTTTAGTCATTATCTTTAATATATGTCTTAAAATAGAAATATAAATTGTTGTTCGTATTTAACATGTGAAGACACACAGGTACCATATAAAGTGGTATCACAGTTCCTGCCTCACCATCTTGCATGGGCACTTCTCTTTCATGTAAGCTTCTGCACACATCAAGGCCACATTCACAGTTCCCTTCTACCACAGATACCAAGTTGTTTTAGAACTAAAAGAGGTACAGGTGATCATCCTGTTGAAAGTGTTTTTTTCTGTATGTATGTTTTTTTTCATTTCTGTTAGAAAACTTTTAACCCTAAAAGTTGGCCAGAGGACGCGTCACACAGGCCATCTGGTCTCCAGCCAGCACATGCATTTACAATTGTAGGATCAAGCAACAGGAAAGTCACCATCAGCTTTGAAAGTGTGCACTAACGGGTCAAAAGCTGGTCATCATTAGATGGATAATTTAACCGCTCATCAATACTTTTGCATAGGAAATGCTTGCCAGTATCACTAACAAATTACTTAATTTTATTTAAACTTGTAACATACGTTGCTGTACATTCTCAACAAAAGGCACGTCAGCTCATTGTAAAACATGCTTAAAATTGCGAAAATAAGTACTCACTGACCACAGTTAGGTCCTTGTTCTGTCTGCTTAGGTTTAAATCTCGGCGTGGCACATTCAAATCCACATTTGATACACCAACTTATAAACTGCTCGTGGTCAATTAAAGATTTTCATTACAAAGGTTTTAATTAATAACACTGTAAAATCAGACTTCATTTTAGGAAGGCTGTAAACTGAAGTAAGAGTGCACACTTCAAAATGCAGAGACTTGTTTGTAGATGCCTTATGTATGCAGGGCTCTTATCAGTTTGATAACATCTCGAGACTTTACCTTTTGATCAGTTTCAGCTGCCATGTGCCAGGTGTGCAGCGCGAACCCAAGGCAAGACAGTGTTTCACAGAGTGGTAATTAGTCAAGGGCCGCATGCTTGCCCATCTGATGCACTTCCAGGCATGATGTTAGTTCAGTGCTTTTTCCCAACATGGAAAACATTACCTTCTTCTTGAGGGACTGTTCTGTTTCTTGTACGTGCAGGCCACCGGTGATAGATGCTTTGCCGTACTCCTGCTTTCTGCTAAGTCTGTTTTTCCAATCTTCTTCACCACTTTTCCTCAACAGTGCTAATCTGAGGGGAAAACAGGCCAACCAAAAGGGGTTCAGCACCACGCTCTTCCTTGTAACAGAACTGTAATTAGGGTCAGTTAGAAGTCTTTGGTTAATACACGACCATAGTTACTGACTTTTTGAGTTTCATTTATTCTGAAGTAAGTTATTCCTGGAAAATTAACATAAGCATTCCCTTTTCTAAGATGCTCTCTCCCCCCAAATCCTAAGCTGATTGCAATGCAAATCTGAAATCTGATTTGCCAGACAAAGATGCTTCATCATTCTACCAGAGGAATCACTCTGTTTTTCCCTTGCTCTTACCCTGAGAGCCCGGAGATGAAGGTAACCATCCCCAGAGAAAATGTCTTCGAATGACCCCTTCTGGTCACTTGGTAAAATAACATTTAATGATTAGAGTTGGATAGGATAGTACTCCTTTGCAGAAAACACAGCAGAAATGGGTTTGTAAACCAAAGCTCTAAAAAATTAATGTTCGTCTTATGCATACCTTTCAATAAAAGGCAAAAGAAGATGTTTAAGATTTTCTTCTCTTCCTGTACTCTAAGCCTTGTCCTTTTCCTCCAAATGCACTTGATCTTTCCAATCAATCTTCTTAATACAGAATCTATTCTCTACAAACCCATTTTTTAAAAAAATGATCACTCCATCTTTCCTCCTGGGGAAAGCCACATACAAAAAAAAGAATCTAATTAATTGAGATTTTTACCTAACCTACTTTAGCTCAGCTCTGGTGTAACTTGACACAGAGCTGCCTGGATGCTACACTCTGTGAAAGGCTACTTTTTGTGAGCGTGAAGCTGTTCTGGCTCACTCGCCTACGATGAACAAAGCAGTCTCGGGCATTTAAGTTGGATAAACATGGGAAAGCTAAAAGGAAAGAAATGTGGTTATCATGAAAATCATTTGAGCTGATGCTCAAGCAATTTAAAGATTGGGGAAAAAGAGATTAGACCCCTTTTCTTCTCTGCAGAGCTGGCCCAGCTGGGTCTTTTAAACATCCTTGTGCATGTCCATAAATTGTATATTTTAAAGCAGCACATCAACCCTAGCCTGGCAGTGAACTCTGCTCAAGTAGCCTGGCCTCCTTTCCATATTGGTCATACTGGGAACTGGACTCGATAGTCTCTTAGGTCCCTTCTACTAATTTTCCCAACTCCACTAAATATTTGAATTAGAGATGGGATGAAATATATTCTACTCCTTGACAAAAGTTTATCTAGGGAAATAAAAAAGCAAACTTTCCAGTACTTGAGTAAGAATCCACTTCCATCTACAAACTTACACATAATCATATCTTAATTCACCTATTCATTCAAATAATGGAAAGTAAGCAACAAAGAAAAGAACTTCCCCAAAGGGGCAGAAGCTTCAAACTCTGGACCTATCCCCTTCTCTTCTTCTTCTTTCCCTTCCTTTCTGTTATGTGACAGATAAGACCTTAAATGACCATTCTATAAAACTGACATAATGCCACTTATCAGTCTGTGATATTGTGATTTATAATGGGAAATACTTGGTTTTCATCACCTTTCTGGGCCTAGAGCTGCCAAAACCCTTGGAATTTCCTAAGTGATGAGAATGACAGAGGTGTCTTTCTATTGATCAGGTGACTTTGGGGAAGCACCCAAGGATGGGGACTGGTTGCCTCTAACCACATTTATGTGATTTGAGGGGTGGGACTTCCAGTTTCACACCCCCTGACTTCTGGAGAGGGGAGAGTGGCTGGAAGTTGAATCTATCACCAATGGCCAATGATCGAATCAACGATGCCTATGTAATCATGCCTCTATAATACCCAGAAGGACGGGGCTCAGAGAGCTTCTAGGTTGGTAGACATGTGGAGATTTGGGGAGAGTAGTGTGCTTGAGAGAGCATGGAGGCTCCACAACCTTTCCCTGTACCCTGAGCTATGCTCTTCCATCTAGTCTTCTTGTGTTACATCCTTCTAGAACAGACTTGAGATCTAGTGAGCTAACAACATTTGTCTAAGTTCTGTGAGGTTCTCTAGTAAATCAAACCCAAGGAGAGGGTGCTGGAATCTCCAATCTATAGCCTGTAGGGTCAAAAGCCCAGGTGACAACCTGGACCTGCCACTGGCATCTGAAGTGTGTGTGTGTGTGTGTGTGTGTATGTGTGTGTGTATGTGTGTGCACGTGTGTGTTGGGGAGCAGTCTTATAGGATGGAGCACCTAACCTGTGGGATATAATGCCATCTCCAGGTATATGGCATCAGAAGTGAGTTGAATCATAGGACTCCCAGCTGGTATCAGAGACACTTGGTGGTGGAGGAAAAAACTCCCATTGGCGATTACAGTCAGAATCTTAGTATCTAAGACAGGCACCATTTGGCTAATGGTTCCATTTAGCCCTAGCTACTATGATCTGTGAGGTTTAACAGTTCTCATGCTACAAGGACAAGTGCATGCACTTAAATACAAATTCTCAATGCCTTCAGGTGTTTTCATCAGACTCTATAATGATTCTTTTCTCTAACTATTCTGAATCAGTTTTATTCTAATAAGAAAAATAATAAAATCAAATCATGAAAAAATAATTAGTATTTGCATAGAGCTTTCAAAGGTTTCAAAGTGTCTATAAATGAGATTTTCAAAAAGTGAGCATGTCAGTACTTTTACACCCAAATGGAGAAGTACTTCCAATTCACAATCTTGTGATGAGAGACATTCATCTCCCGGATATTCTTGCAAACTGGTCTCAGAGCCAGCTTTCTGTCTCTTACTTCACCTTTGACAAAGACCAATAGTTACTCATCTTGGCTATCTACCATTTTTTTTAAGTGTATTTATTTTGAGAGGGACAGAGAGAGAGAGAGAGAGAGAGAGAGAGAGAGAGAATCCCATGCAGGCTCTGCACTGTCAGTACAGAGCCCAGTGATGTGGGGATCAGTCTCACAAACTCATGAAATCATGACCTGAGTCAAAATCAGGAGTCGATGCTTAACCAACTGAGCCACCGAGGTGCCCCAGCCATCCACCGTTTTCCTCAGAGTTGATCCCAAATGAGTTGAGAGAATCTAAAAAGTCAAATTCAGGGGTGTCTGGGTGGCTCAGTTGGTTAAGTGACCGACTCCGGCTCAGGTCATGATCTCATGGTTCATGGGTGTGAGCCCCACATCGGGCTCTGTGCTGATGGCTAGCTCAGAGCCTGAGCCTGTTTCAGATTCTGTGTCTCCTCTCTCTGACCCTCCACTGCTCACACTGTCTCTCTTTCTCTCTCAGAAATAAATAAAAGAACATTTAAAAAAATTTTTTTAAAAAGTCAAAATCATCCTCATGAGTTGGGTTTATGGGAAATGACGCACCACAGTCTTCAAGAACATTCTCACAACAAAGATCCCAGGAACCCAGAGCAATCACAACAGAATCCAAATAACCATATGGTTTCCCTGATAGCCGCCCTGAGCTACATAAACCTGACTTCGAAAAATTAAACTGCAGCATCTACAAATCACCTTATAGGCCCTCTCATGCTCTACTGGTCTGCACACCAACCTCGAAGAAACTGATTATTGTTCCTTATGGGACAGGCAAGGTATGAACACACACATCGGCCAAGGATTTCATTGGCTGAGGTCAGGCTGTATGTCAGTGGGTCAGGGCAATATGGTTCCCATGCAGGGGTGCCTTGACTCCCAGGTGGCGGCTTGCCTCACTACATTAGTGTGTTAGCTGACCAGACTGGGTTGTCCTCATGTTTTAGACACTGCATAGTATTCTGGTTTTCTTATAATGTTTCTCCACCCCCCCGGGATGGTCTTCAAAGAATTCCTCCATTCCAAAAACCTGAAATCTTGCTTCTGGAAGCGTTGGCAGGGTCATCATCAGGGACTTCCAAAGATTACAGAGTAACCAGAATAACATGGAAGACACGGTGGTTCGATTCAGCGCATATGGTACTTGGACCCTACCCTAGCTCGCAGAGTGCAAATGACGGGTAACTTTCAAATAACATGCACGAGAACTTAAATGTATTACTCCTGTCCCTTCAGATTTCCTACTTGGTGTTCAACAAGCTGAGGGGGGCGGGAGACCTTTCCAAACACGTTCTCTCCTCCTGCGATCCCACGACCCTCCGGAGTCGACGAGACCGCGGTGTGCTGGCGGGGGGCCGAGGAGCGAAACGTCTGGCCCTACACATGACATAAATTACTGCCTATGCAATTCAAACAACTGTCAGCGCCTGTAACATCCGCCAAGTCCAGCACTATTTGCAGGGCTGTGATGTGGAGAGGCTGGGCATCTGCTTAGTCTGAGGTGGAGAGCCCAACGAGTGGCACTGTGTTAGCCTATTGACCCCAAGGCCTGGCCAGGGGCCACCGTGCCATGTGCTTGCCAGGCCACCCGGGGGGAAAGGTCTGCCTGTCTTGCCACAGCCCACACTTTGTCGGCAGGGAATACCGGCCTGGCATGGCTGTGCTCAGAGGCCGTGGTCTGAGAGCCTGTCTGATTAGAACGGGTTCTGCGGGCTCACAGCAGTCAGGACTGGGTCAAATAGTCAGAGACAGAGGCAAACCACATGTCCCTAGTCTTATGTGGGTTTTCTCTCCCCCCTTTAAAAATGCCCCCTCATTTCAGACAATCACAGGCACAACACAGATTTCAGACGGGTCTGACCAGCACCGAGTGGTACTCAGATCAGATCTTGGTCTTGGCTAGTCTGCAGGCCACAGCAGTGAGCTAGTGTGTCTTTTAAATGGTGGGGGGAAGCAAAGATCAGAAAGGGAGGCTGCAAAGGGGAAAGACACCTCTGGTCCTAATTCTTAGGTAAATCTGGGGGCCCTCTGGTGGCGGAAATCTCCAGCAAGAGCCTCTGGTCCCAGCCAGGGAAGCATGGACACAGTTGCTGGCTGGTGGGGAGCACCCACGGGTGGGTGGAGACATGTGCAGGGACTCTGCAGGCTGGCGAGAGGCGTGGGGCGCATTCCTCACCATTCCAGGGAGTTCAACTAAGCCCTCACATGAGAGGATGACTTTCTTGCCTTTTTTAGTAATCTTCTCCTGAATACGAAAGCCCAGATACCACTGCCTCAGTAACCGTGGATAAGATTTCTAATAGCCTAGTATACTTCTGAAGAGGTTATGAAACAGTGACTTTACTAATCCAGGGGCAAAAGCCGACTGTATCCTAAGTCTTGTGCTAGTGAGGGTTCAAACCTCATATTCTGGGTATCAGCGAAGATGAAGAAAGAGAAGGAACCTCTAGGCACATCTCCTTGAGCCGCCAGCCTGCCCTATAGAAGGGGAGTGTACTGAGGGTTTCCTGTAATGTCTTAGTTGCTATACTTTTCCAAGTCCTTGTTACCACGTACAAAGTGGGGACAGCACTGGCTCCCTGCAAGGGAGCACTAAATGCACTGCAGCACGAAATGAGGTAGTTAGTGCATAAGAAATGCGGAGGCAGCAGATGAAGCCGGTGCTCCTCACAGCAGAGGCTCAGCATGCCCCCATCCTGAGCAGAAAGGAGACAACACACAAGGTTGAGGAGGCCAGAACTGCATCCTTGGGGATGCAGTTTTTTTAGCAGAAATGATGAAGGAACTCTGCAAAGTCCAGTCTCTCTTAAGAGCCTGAAAGGTGAATGTGAAACTGGAAATAGGCCATGTGAAGAACACGTGCACTGAGAAAATTAATGCAGAGGAGGGCAAATCTTTCTGACCCGGCTGTCCCGCCAGCACTGCTGTCCTCTGGTCGATTTCCTCGTTAGAACACACACGTTGGCTGCCAGCACACCAGGGTGAGCACGCGGCAGTCTCAGCCCGCCGACCACGGGGAAGGTGGAGACCAGCGCCTGTGCCTGGTCCCACTCCCCAAGTGGGCCCTAGTGGATGTGGGAGCCAAACTCCTCCTTCAGTACAATGAGGCAGTCAGAAGAAGGTAAAAGCTCCATTTAGGGGTGCCTAGGTGGCTCAGTTGGCTAAGCATCCAACTCCTGATCTCAGTTCAGGTCATGATCTCACGGTTTGTGCGTTTGAGCCCCGTGTCGGGGTCTGTGTTGACGGTGTGGATCCCGCTTGGGAGTCTGCCTGTCCCTCTCTTTCCTCCTCCCTCTTTCTCTCTCTCTCAAAATAAATAAATAAACTTTTAAAGAAAAGTTGTCTTATGTGTCACCTCACCAAAGAAAAAGGAAGGCCCACATAATAATATAAAAGAGCCTTCTTATTTTAAATGGGTCAAGCTTCATTCTTTCTTTCTTAACAGAAGGGAGTGATCAGGGCCCCACTTAGGGAAAAATGATCACAGATGGATTGTAAAGATACACAGTTTTGTTTCTTTCAGCAAAGTCCAAATGAAAGCACTATCAAGATTAAGGGGGAAAGGATGGCTGGCAATATATTTTCTGTTAGCATAATTTATGACAAGCATAGCTGCTAATAAAATGGCCCTCATCCTTTTTTTAAGCACTTATTTAAAAAAAAAGAATAGCTGAAGTATTCTTTACTATAATGGCTGTTAGCAGATTGGAGTCAGGAATCTCCCGGAGGGGCTGTGAGAAGTCCCGTCTCCTGCTAGCCTAAAGGAGCCTGTGCACGACGGCTGGTTTTGAACCCAGTTCCAGGGAGGTCCCAGAAACCTTACAGCCATTCTTGAACTCCCTGGACATCTATGAGGCCCGGGTGGTGAAGCAACCCTTTATAGTCTCTCGTATTTTCTACAAACAAGAATCCTATAGTAAGATTAAAACTGCTTTCAGAAAGACACAGATCAACTGAAATTGACTAAAGATGGGCAGGTGAATCAAGATTTACTGCATAGTGGATCGACACCAACCTTCTTCATCAAAAGCCCTAAATCCCAACTGACAGCTTATACCCATAGATGCAGAATCTACTTTATGAGCCTCTGTGAAAAATGAGAGCATAATGGTATTTTTCACTGGAATTTTATTCCAGAAATATCTCCTGATGTATAAAACACCAGAACTGGTGGGTGAATGACATTTGTCATTAATTCCCTTAAATGATGGCTCTTCCTTCTTACCCCACTTGATTATCAAGAGTAGGATCTCTGGGGACCAAAGTCTCTCTAGGCCAGGTTTCACTGGAGAAGGACATCAAGCCAGCACAGGCCAGGCAGCCTCCCTGATTCAAGACATCATTCTCATTTAGCTGCCCCAGCAGCCCTTTGTCTGAGTCTTGGTCTAGAAGCCTCATCTAACTGTGAATTTTTCTTAAAGTTTTATTTATTTATTCTGGGGGGGAGGAGAGGGAGAGATAGCAAAGGGTGTAGAGGCAGAGAAAGAGGGAGGGAGAGGATCCCAAGTAGGATCCACACAGTCAGTGCACAGCCTGACGTGGGGCTCGAACTCACAAACTGTGAGATCAAGACCTAAACTGAAACCAAGGGTTGACCGCTTAACCAGCTGAGCCACCCAGGCACCTGCATCTGTGAACTGTAAACAGGTAAAGGCAAAAGTAAAAGTTAACAACCTTTCTAATTTGTCAGTTGACAAAGGCTCCGCCCACCTAGCCTTTTATGAGTAATGTTCAAAAAGCTCGCTTGAAAAACAGAATAAACAACTCTCATCCTGGTTTGACGTGAAAGCCAATCTGAAGAGAAACCAGAGTATTTATCCTGGTTTGATGTATAGTCTTAGGCAGTGCAAACTGTATCCAGAAAAATAAGAGTAACCACTGTCGGACAGAGCAAGAAGACTTCTGAGCGGTGGGAGGTGCTAAGGAAGGGTCTAGATGGGCATGGCGGACAGGTGTGTTGATCACGCTGGAGAAGCACAGAGATCTTTCTGGCGGCTGGTCTTCCTATCACAATTACATCTTTCGCTGCTTAATCCCACGGTGGCTAAAGGCTAACAAGGCAAATATAACCTGAAATAGTTAGCTCGGGTTCCCTGTATCTGTCCTATTTAAACACAGCCTTTCTACCCTCCACTATTGAGTAAAATGAGGTTACAGCGTTACTTGATACTCAAATGCAATCTTTTACCTGATATAAAGTTTCTAAACGCAGCTCAGCAAAGTCATCCATTTCACTTTCTGCAGAATAAAGAAAACTTAGATTTCAATCCCAAAGATTGATGTCCCAAATATGGATTTACCTTCATTCATATACTTTAGGCAGACAAATAGTCACAGAGCAGTGGGTACATTCGATTTGAGGCCATGTGTCTGATGTGGAAAAAACCAAGATCTCTGGATAGTCAAAGAATTTCATATGGGAAAAAAAAAAAAGGAACTGCAAACAAATGATGCAGGCAGACATCGGTTTTTCCTCATCTGAGTCTGGAACAGGCGCTCCTTGGGTGTTACCACCCCTGAACATCCAGGCTCCCGACGTCACCTCTGCCCATTATTCAGATCTTTTTCTACAAGCAATTTACAAGCTCCTCCCCCACAGAATTACTTTCCAATCATCAAATCACATTACCTTTCTTTAATCGACATGGTTTTGCTGGCTGAATCGAGGATGCCCTCCACGGCTGGCGCTTTGATCTCTCCGGCAGCAAACATTGCACCCGGACTCCTGGAGTACCTCTCCTGTGCTTGCTCGGAAGGCTCTTGCTGCTTCCGGGACATAGGGGTTGTAGCCTGAGCAACAGTCTTCCCTGCAGCTGTACCCGGCTGCTCAGAAGTGGGCTCTCCAAACTCTGCTGCTGGGAAGGAGAGCAGCAACGTCAGCACTCACTCCTCCAGGCAGACATTCTTCCGGGTATTCACCCTCTGCGGCCCCGCACCCGGAGTTCAATCCCGTGGGCGCAGGGGGTGACCCAATCCACTCGTATTTATGCAAATCTGTAGCAGGCTACACTCTGGGAGGAAACCAAACTGCCCAGTAGGTTACTGCACACAGCCAATGGTTTTGTGACCACTGGTCTTTTCCTATGTGCAAGACACAGGATGTTAACTTTAACTACACACGGCAGAAAGTTTCTCCTCCTCCAAAACAAAACTTTTTATGTTTCAAATGGCTATAATCACAAACCAAAACCACGACTGTAACTTACACGTGATCATTTTATGGAAATGCAGAAGGAGAATTAAAGCCACAAGCAATATAGCTTCCTAGTCGGCATAACAGGACTGTGGAAAGAGTCTGGAAATCTACAGACCTGGGTTCAAGTCCTTATTCCCTGTGCTCACCCAGCCCTTTGGGGTCATCAACTCATAAGAGGGACTTGCAGGTCACAAGACTGTTTTGTGAGTTAATGTGCCCAATGTCATCAGGAATCCTTGTCAGGGTGCATGGAAGAGCTCCAGGTATTTTTACTGCTGAGAAACTGATCATCCAGGTCACATTCAAGGGAAAGGGAAATCTGGGGAGAGTAGGTTTCACCCTGATTTGTAACCAATACTGGTTATAAACTGTCTTCTTACTTTAGTGAAGAATAATCACAAACACATGTAATCAATCAAGCAGACACCAGAAAACCAGCTGGTTTTCAAAACTTTCAGACCGGTAACCTACCTCTTAGTGAAAACTTCCTTCTTGTGACATTCTCCACATCCACCTTCTCTTCAAAGGGCTGCCTGTCCCTCAAGTCTGGGCTCCCCTGTGCGATGCTTTTAGCCATGGAAAATTCCTTCAGTTCATCACCAAGGTGAGCCATGGGGGGATGAACTAATTCCAGGCTTCCCTTTCTCGGAACAGCATACTTGGGTTCCTTATGGCTGTCTCCTTCCCAGACTCTGTTAACGGCAGAGCACGATGGCTCTGCTTCCTCATAGGACCCGTACACTTTACCACCATCACCACTTGTCAGGACTCTCTTGCTTTCTGTCTCTCCAAACTCTCTCAACATTCCTCTGCTCCCACTACCATCTGCTGAAGGCTGCCAGGCTTGGGACTTCAGAATGCTTCTGACCGGAGATTCTGAGTTTTCTATTGAGGATGGAAGTTTATAGTCAGTGGCACTTGGGATGTCGTCCCCAGATGGCTTTGTCCGAAGATCCCCCGCGTACATCGGAGTGACTGTAGATGCCATGGTGGACACACATGTGTTAACAGTAGGTGAGAAAGGAATGAGCTTTCCACTTTGCACCTGCGAGCACACAGTTAAAAATGCAAACAGCTGATTCAAAAACACGGTCTATGGGACTCCCAGTTTACAGACTGGCATAGACTGAAATACTACATGCGGTGTAGTTTCCCTGCTTATCTGAGCGGGAAGCCAACCCTAGACATATTTTATATAACGCATCTCATTAATCAGAATCATCTGGGTGAAAAGCAGATTGTGCGTCCTATTTTTTCTCTCCAGAAAGCACTCATTCCAGCTGGTTTCAGCAAGTGAATTAGGAAAACGAGAAAAGCGAAATGTACTTGGCATGTCTGTCTGTCTTAGGAAAGGAGTTATTACGGAGTCGCCTACAGATCACAGGTGGATCCCCTTCATTACATTACTAACCTAGAAGTGACACTGTGTCCCTGTGTTTTAAGAACCCACCCGCAGAGGAGCCAGATCACAGCGTACCCACCTGTTCCACCTCTCCGAGCGTGACCGGCTGCGTTTGATAGCGTGCATTCATTCTCCTCTGTCTCATGTCTATTCTGTTTCGGGTAGAAATAGCTTTTGAGACTGGCTGGGACAATTTGTTAAACAAGGCCAACTTCTCTGCTAAGCTTAGAGTGGAGGAATCAGGTTCACCTTGTTCGGTAGACTCTTTGGCCTCATTTGCCTGGTCTCTGGCTAACACCTTGTGGTGAGCAGATGCCTGTAATCTGAAAGTGAGAAAAAGTCAGTGACACAGATAAAAAACCAACAAAAGCCCACTGCTAAATTCTGAATATTAACTTTCTTCCCAGCGTCACTTGATTTTGGAAAGGGCTGATTTCTCCCTGCAGAAATTTAAAACAGGAGGGGGCACCGTTTAGGTATTAAGAAGACCGTGACTAGCAGAACAGGCTGGGGATACTAGCATTACCGATCTCACAAAGGGCAGATCTTTATCTCTGAATTATTTCTAAAAAGTGAATTTCCTCTTTAAGGAACTGAAGTCAGCTTGGATATGTCTTATCTTAGAGGGACGTGTACTGTTAGTATCAACAAGTAAGGCTAAAGGGAGTCTCAAGGCATTACATATGGCATGTTTAGACATTATCTAAATACATGGTTCAGAAGTATTCTTTCCATTTTATAGAATTAGGAAATAATATAGTCATTTGGTCAAACAACATATCTGGAACAAAGGGTTTTGATTTTGGGGGTGCCTAGGTGGCTCTGTTGGTTGAGCATCTGATTCTCAATTTTAGCTCAGGTCATGATCTCACAGTTTGTGAGATGGAGCACCTCGTCAGGCTCCACGCTGACAGCGCGAGCCTGCTTGAGATTCTCCCTCTCTCTCTGCCCCTCCCCTGCTCACTCTCTCTGTCTCTCTCAAAAATAAAAAATAAAAATATTTAAGAAAGAAAAGTTTTGGGGCGCCTGGGTGGCTTAGTCGGTTGAGTATCCGACTTTCGCTTAGGTCATGATCTCGCGGTTCGTGGGTTCGAGCCCCGCGTCGGGCTCTGTGCTGACTGCCAGCTCAGAGCCTGGAGCCTGTTTCAGAGTCTGTGTCTCCCTCTCTCTCTGACCCTCCCCTGCTCACGCTGTCTCTCTCTCTCTCTCCTAGAAATAAATATTTAAAAAAAAGTTTTGATTTTCACTAGGTAAACACAAATAGTTCCATTTTAAAGGTTCATTCACTCCTTTAGTGTAGCATTTTCTCTCATAGCTTTCTACCAGTAACTTGGAAAAGTGAAGGAAATTAGGTGCTGAAAAATTCCTCCAACTTCCAGGTAGAGGAGAAGGCTTCCCATTACCTGGTCACTGTGGATCTTGGAAACTTTATGACAGTGTGTGTTTAAGCCACTGTCAAATCCAATTCTTAAGCCCAGTGAACAGTATATATCCTGTCTTGACTCCAATCAATCACCAATTCACAAGCTGTCCCAGACTAAAGAGCAGGGTCAGTGTTCCAGGGTATAATGGATGATAACTCAGAATGGGGAGAGCAATGGCCACCTACTTCCCGGAGAGACCCCTGCTTCTGGGAGGTGCCACATGTGACTTCTTTTAATTTGACTTTTAGCTGTTGTGATTTGGTCCCTCACAGTAAAACAGAGGGGATATTTACATGCCATAAGGACATCCTTTCAAAACACCACAACTGAAAACTTAGTAGTAAAACATCTAATGCAGACACTATGAATTATTACTGTCCCAATCCCAAAATGTCATGGCCTTGTCTCTCTATACATTAGAAATTTACAGGATTGTTTTTAGCATGTCTTTATGATCACAAGTATTTTTTTAAAAAACCAGGGTATTACTGGAATTTCAACATTCATGTTAACTCCCCATTTTCCCATTAATCTTTATTAAGTGCTAGTATTTTAGAAGAATGAAATTTTGTAGGGATGACCACGATTATGGAAAACAGAAACAAAACAAGTGGATAAATGAGTTAGTGCGATCCTAGTTCCGACACACGGCGTTAAGCAGGGAGGTGAAATGTTTTCCCATGCAGGCCCACACGGAGTTAGCGGCGTCTCGCAGTATGACAAAACAAAGTGCCATCCGCTCCCAGAGCAACCTGTGGCTCTGACTCGTTTCTCAAACAAATGGCAGGCATTCAGATTGCAAGATGCATCTGTTGTCTAGGGCCTTTGCCCTCAGGCTTCATGCAGCTACTTCTGTCCAGTACCTGGCAGGCGGCACAGTGCTCTTAGCTACAGTGGGGCTAGGAAGTCTTGCCATTACAGGGTGGGTGGTCACAGAGCACGAAGCAGGGATAGGTTCACTTTAAAAGCAATTGCCAAAGGAGGAACATTCGTAAGGAGAGAGAAGAAGAGAAGCATTAAAGGAAAACACAGTTTTAAATTCAGAAACAGTAAATCAATATTTTCATACACTTATTTGCTACGTGTAAATGTCCTGATTTTTAAAATAACTTAAGGGAAAGCTAATATCAACATTGGCAAATCAGTAGATTATGCCCATGTTTTGGAATGTTGTTCTCAGTCCATTTTGTAAAACATCAGTGTCCTCATATAATCTATAAAACACATCAAAGTAGATTTGGGGAGCCTTACAAGGTGATCATTTTTGTTCATATGTACAAAATGTTTATAAGCTCCCATAGGTAGTTGCTTCTTAGTTTACAACAGTTTACAAATATTAAAAAAAAAGAAAAAAGCTCATCTGCTACGAGCTCCTAACAAATGCATGAAGTACTCATCCACAAATACTCCAGGAGGCTGAGGAGCAGCTGGGTAAGAAAACGATCTCACAGCAGGTACACAGATGTGGGCTGCCACAGACACCTCTTGGGATGGCCGTGCCCTGGATGAGATGAACTTCTTTTCTTCAGGAACACTGTGCGTGTGCGTGTGTGTGTGTGTGTGTGTGTGTGTGTGTGTATGTCCAGGGGAAGGGTGAAAGCAATTTTTAAAACACTGATAAAAGTTGTCACTTGATTGAAACAATGATCTCTGAATGAATTACTTTGGGAAACCCATTCTGAACACATTGGAATCTATTTCGCATGTACAGAAAGTCGTCAAACTTCCAAGTCATATTTTAGGTTTTTTGATGATTATTTAAAGAGAAATAAAAAGAACCCTTATCTTTTTGAGATATCTGCTGAAATACTGATGGGTGAAATGATATCTGGGGTTTGCCTGAAAACAATGCAGGAGGAGAGGGGATGGGATGTTGGTAGAGCGAGACTGGCCAGCTGCTGACTGTGGAAACCAGGTGATGAATACACGGAGGTCCATGATATAAATCTCATGTTTTAGGGGAGCCTAGGGGGCTCAGTCGGTTATGCGTCTTGATTTTGGTTCCGGTCATGATCTCATGGTTCATGGGCTGGAGCCCCACGTTGGGCTCTGTGCTGACAGCATGGAGCCTGCTTGGGATTCTCTCTCTCTCTCTCTCTCTCTCTCTCTCTCTCTAAATCAATAAATAACAACTTAAAAAAATAAATCTCGTGTTTTAAATTTTCCATTGTAAAGAAAGATTTCAAAATGCACAGACAAAAAAAATTTTAAATTCCTCCTTAGCTATTTCTAGGAGATCCAACAGGCAACACATCCCAGTACAAAGTTCGGAGAGACCACAGTAAGCAGAATCCCAGAGAACCAATTTCTCTGTTGGCTTCTAACTAAAATATCTCCTGATTTCTTGACTTTACTTACAAGTCTCTAATCCCCCCCTTTTTTTTTCCTTCAAGGAGACATGTCAACCAAGACCAAGGGGTCACAAGGGGGACTTACGTGGCTGCGATGGCCACTTCCTCAGTGGTGACAGGCTGGGTGTGGGATCTGTCCTGCAGCCGCCGCAGCCTTTGCTCCACGGCCGGGTTTCTTGAGCGTCTCTTTGGAACATTTTTCTCATCAAATGATTTTTCCATTTCCTAAGATCAGAAACAATATGGAATCCTTATAAACGTGGGGAAAGGGCACTGGAGCCACAGAGTATCTCTGCTCTGTCCCCCTATAGGACCTCTGGGAGCGTCCATCTGGGAGGCAGGTAGCATTCTCAGAAGTCCACACTCTGGCGGTGTTGGCCGGTGGCCACACCAGCCGGGGGCTCAGACAGGGGCACACGGGCCAGAGCGAGATGGGACCCAGGGGCTGTGCAGGGAGCGGGGGGGGAGGCGGGGGGGCAGGGTGACAGTTACTCCTCAAGCACGTCAGCACACCTTACCCTGAAAAGCAGCCTCTTGGCAGCAACACTCAGCTTGGCTCGTTCATCTACCTTTTCTTCATCTGTAAAAAGCCACAAAATAAACACCGAACACGGTGAGAAAAATGGAGGTGAAATCTCCGAAAAGTTTCCCAAGGCTGACTTGGAAATCCTTTGAATAGAAGGATGGATATACCCAAAATTCCACTTGGTAGTATTTCCCCTTGGAGGGATCCCATTCTTCTGCTCAGTGAAAAGGTACTAATTTCCACTGCACTTAATCAGATAAAACTCTGTCTGGACAGGAATTTTCTATTCTAATATTTGAACAATTGAGGTTTGAGGATAGATTTTTATGAAAAGAATTTCTCTTCTTTATTGTTAAATAGTAATAAGAAATTAACAACAAAAGCCTGCTTCTAAAGAAGCAAAGTAGTTGTTTTAGTATTATTCATTCTACGGTTCTCATTTGAGAATCTCAGCTAGGTTTTAATATATTCACAGAAAGAAAGCCTGCAGAAAAGAAATCGGTAAGCTCCAAAATCTCATCCTCTCAAGAAAGTGAAATCTTATGTAAACCTAGTCTGGGTGACATGATAGAAAAGTGACAAAAGGAAAACAGATACTTGCCCTCAGCAGTTGGCAATTCTGAATGCGAAGCGGACCTGGGAAAGACATTAGCAAATAAAAGTGACAAAAAATTAGCCGGTGGGAATAGAAGATCCAAATGAAAAACATCAGATTAGAAGTAAAAGTAAAAATAAAAGTAAAAATTCTGTTGCACTCTTTTAAAGAATATCATCTTGCTAGCAACTCTCGTCGTGAACACGCAGTGACAGTTGTTAATGGACACAGTGGGGTGCATGTGCACACAACCCAGCCAGGTGTACACTGTGTGGAGGCAAACCAAAATGGAGTGGGACTTTTGAAACATGACTGATTACTGTTCAGACAAACCTTATTATTTCTAAGCACAAACATACAGTCGTAGAAAACTCAACATGACAAGTAGACAGATATTTATAAGAGGAATATAAAACCCCTATTTACTTGCCCTGGAAAAGTCGGTGAATACCCACTGCAGATTCTACTTTAACAAGGGCATAAAAACGAAAAACATTAAATGAAGAAAAATAACGTGTCTCACTTCTTACCGTCTAAATGCAGTGTAAATCTGTTATTGTGATACTGTTCTTCTGGGCAGCATTCTTTAAAAATACATGTATAAATATCTCTTAAGGATTAGGTGGAAGAATTATAGAATCATCAGATCCCATCTGACACAGCACCAGGACCATCACTGAGGTGAAAATCCTGTACGATGGCTTTTACGTTCCTAGACTGTAGAACTACACGCACACATGCCTACCTATCTGATTCCTTTCGTTCTGCTGAGGTTATAGGTTGAGTTCTAAATCTCTCGGAAGTTTTTCTACTTTCACCAGGAGAAAAATAGCGTCTTGGTTTCCGGGACCCTCTCTCCCATTCCACACCGGTAGGCAAGCCAGCTCCTTCAGCTGACCTCTCAGCCCGGGGTTGGCTTTTAGAATCATTGGGAGGGAGTATACAGAAGGGAAACGAGAGACAGAGAGAGAGAATAAAGGAAAGGTTTATGCATCTCAGTGAGGCAAGGCCCAGACACCACCAAATCCCACTGCATGCCCCGACCATGCATGGAAAGGAGGTGGAACATTCCAGCAACCCAAAACTGCAGCTCCCCATTAGTAGGCAGAAGCAGAATGGTAGTTTTTGAGCCATTTCCTGTATGGTCTGCCCTGCACACTGGTGAGCTAAGCTAACGTGACTCAATGCAGGGCACCACACAAGTTGAGAGGTGAATAAATCTGCCAAGGACGTGCAAGTGACACATCAGAAGGACGTCTGAAACATCACCTACAGTTCGCGTTTCTTGCTGGCATTGACAGACTCCAGAAACGCATTTCGGAGCTGGGCGACAGAGACCTTTGTGTCCAGCATGCCAACTTCAGTGGAGGGCCCTTCGGCTTTGGAACTCTGTGGCCCCTGCTCTGGCGCTGAAGCGGGGTCCTTACATTTCAGGGCCTGCAGCTGAGGGGGGCCCGTGTAGTCAGACAGGGAGCGGGTGAGGACCTTGCGCTTCTTCGTAAGCATTTCCTTTTTATGGCCCGTCACCCCGGCATTTTGGGACACAGGCTCGCTCTGAACATATAAATCCACTTCTTGTCTGCCCATTCTCTCAGTGGGTTGTTGCTGAATGTGAGGTGGGGGTGACAGGCTTTCTGGTTCCATCTGACGCTCTAAGTTGGCTGTGCTAACCACGGGCTTGCCAACGTCTCCATTTCCAGAGGGGTCTTCATGGCCTCTTGCAAGCCCGTGATCCTCCAAAGCCAAAAGTGTGTTCCTGCTTGTCTCGAGAGCTTCGGAAAAGAGATCATCTTCCTCTGCTTTTGATTCACAAATATGAAGAACCGGAGTATCTCTTCTCTCACTTTCTAGAACCTTCAAGCTGGGAGGCTTTCTGACACTCTGGGTGGCTGCCCCTCCCCAGCTGCATTCAGATACATTTTCTGGGATCTCTGAGGTCACCAGCTTGGTCGTGTGAATGGGGTCCACCTGTTGGACGTAACCACGGATCGGCTGTCGTGCGGAGCAGGCTGCCTTGCTCGAGACCCTATCAAAGGCCGAATTTTCAGACTGAAAAGACCAGCACTGGACAGGCACTGGCTGATGTCTCCTCTGAGTCAAGGGCTCTGAGGCAAGTTCAGGGCTGTTGCGAGCACTCTCCTCTTTCACCAATTTTTCTCTAACCTTAACTCTTTAAGAAAGAAAAAGGATTTAAGTTGCAAAGTACAGTCACTGCTAAACAGGAAGAAAGCATGCGTGGATCACAGACTGCCAGGGAACGGAAAGCCACCCAGAGACAGAACCACCGTGACAATGCATTTCTGGTGGTTAATGTCAGAAAACTATCACCTGCCAGATGAACAAGTTTGAGTTGAGTTTCCAAATGCCAGCATGATGCCAAACTATGCCCTCTCGAAAGCTGAGAGGTCCCACCTCTCACCCAGGTGCCATCCTGGGTGAGAATGGATGCCTTCTGACTACATGAATGACCAGAAGCCACGGGAAAATCCATTAGTATACACACCAGTATGTGTGAGAACATACTCAGGCTGGTGCTGGGAATCAGTAAACTCTCCACATGTACTGGTGTTGTGTATGGGCTATGGGGGGAGTTTCTAGGCAGATGTATACCTATTGACCAAATGCAATTTCACTGTCTCCCAGAAATGTCAGAGCATTTGTTATTTATTTATTTTTTTTTTTACTGAGCTCAAGATACAACAAACAATCACCCCTTTCAAGCGCTCAACTAAACATTCACAAGCTTTTTCATGCATGGTGGACTACATTCATTCATTCCTAAGACCTGTGACCAGTTTGGACATCACTGCTACGAATAATTGTAGCACCAAGAAGAATGTTAGAGAAAAGGTATTCGTTGAAAGAACTAAGAAATGGGGTGTTTTCTCCTCTTTGGAATTGCTATTAGGCCCTTAGTTTAAAAGGGAATCTAAAAAGGGACTGCTCTGGTGGTTTCTCCAGCTATTTAAATATCTGAGAGCAGAAAACTGAAATCCATTTTAAAAAGCCTCAAAGCTTTTCCTATTACAGCAGAAGCAAAGGAGCCAAGGGCTCTGTTCAAAACTGGCTCAGCCAGGGGCGCCTGGGTGGCTTAGTCGGTTAAGCGTCCGACTTTCGCTTAGGTCATGATCTCGCGGTTCGTGGGTTCGAGCCCCGCGTTGGGCTCTGTGCTGACAGCCAGAAAACTGGAGCCTGTTTCAGTCTGTGACTCCCTCTCTCTCTGACCCTCCCCTGCTCACACTGTCTCTCTCTCTCTCTCCTAGAAATAAATAAAAACATTAAAAAAAAATTTAAAAAAAAATGGCTCAGCCAATTGTAGCTGGGTGGTCTCAGGCAACTTTCCTGCCTCAGTTACCCTACTCTTTAACTGGAAATAGTAGTGACAAAATGTAATGTGATGTTTACAAAGCATATGGATGACCTAGTGCTGAACAAAGAGCAAACACTTAATAGGTTAGTTCGTACTTATTTGTACTTTTTGCAAAGCTATGTAGTGAGAGAGACCACTGAAGCTGTTGAAGAATGATTGATAATCATCTTGAAAAAATAAAACACACTTTTCCAGTGGGAAAAGTGATTTCTTAGAGAATCTAAACCTTCATTTACTAAAGATCAGTCAGCAAAAATAATTACGATAGTTAGTTTTAGAAGAGAATATTTCCTTAAATGACAAATGCACCCCGTTAAATTTGATACAAACTCCTACATGTTTTTCAACACTGATGCAGGATACCTATGTATATTTCATTTAAAAAAAGTCAAGTACACATATAAAAGGAAGTTATCATGAACTATTCAGGAGGAGGGAAAAGAAAAGCACTCTGAGTTATTTTTCCCAGAGTCTAGGCAGTGTTGGAGGTTTTCATATTTATAAGCTTTTGTTAGTCAAAACAAGACTAAAATGTGGTTCAAGTTCTCCTGTGGAATGTGTCCCTCTAATCAGAGACAATCTGAATGTTGTCCTCAGCTGAGGACAAAGTGACTGTTAGAAACTCAGTATATGGGTGCTTTGTCCTGCCAGTGGCTTATTCATTCTTACTCCTTCTGCCTCTCCCTGCCCCCAACCTTAACAATGAAATGAAACTTTTTTTTTTTTTTTGTCTGCCTTTAAAACCACAATGCCCCCAGTACAACTGTGGAGAATTAACTACTGGCTTGGAGAGGAGGGGACATGAAAAGCAGGAGGTTGGGAGTGCTGAGCGGAGCGGGTGTTGACAATGCGACACTAGCTGGTTAGTTAGTATGACTTGAGAGGACAGCAGCTCAGTGCTCACTACTGCTCCCACTTGATAGTATGTTGGGCGGTGAGACAGGAGAGAAGCAAGAAGTGTAATCAAAAAGATGTTCAGAAACGGGGAAACAAGAGAGAGAAATATTATTAGCAGGGGTTAAGGGCGACCGGAGGAGAAAAGCGAACGATCAAAAAGTAACAACTTCCTGCAGCCCCTTATGAACACACAACTTTCAAATGCACCGCCATTAACCGAGGGCAAGAAGAGAGTTAGAGTTCGGTCATGGGTAGAACAGCAGGGCGAGTCAGCAGGGGAAGTAGCAGCACTTACTACACAGAAGGTGAGAGTTTCAACTTGGGGTATACCTGGAAGGCCAGTTGATAAGAGAAGGTGTGTCCCCTTCGGAATCTTTCTGGAGAAACCACTCATATTTGGGTTTCCCGGTACTATCATGTATAAAAGACAAAACTTCAGATAATGTCTATTCAATGTCAACATGCATACAATCATAATTTAAAACATAAAGGTTGGTTTTTGTTCAGTAAAGAATAATCTTGGCTTTAGAAAATGGATAGGCGCGTTTTGTCACGGGGTTTGTATTTATTTCACAATGGACAGAAGAAATAGTCTATCCAAAGCCACCATATAAAACGTTTTTCAAGCAGTTTGCAAGTATTAGGAGTCTATTACAGTCACAACTGTCCCCATAAATACCAGACGATTTTCTTGTAAGAAGCAGGGTGAAAGGTCAATTTATCTTCTATAAGTTTTGTTAAGGTATATTGGTAAATAGCCAAATATAAAAATAGTATCCGTATAAAACAACACATATCAAATAAAAGAAAGAAGTAAAAAGAAATCCAATAAGATCACATCTTTAATTGCTCTTAGACATTCTCCTTTTATATTTGTCACTGAATAATGCAACCAACATTAACAACTACCAATACTAATTCAGACCAATTCAATAAATGTTCATTGAGTTCCTACTATGTAGGAAGCACTGGACTTGGGCTCTGAAAAGTAACAAAGGTGAATCAGGCAACATCCCGGCCATTGAAAAACTTACACCGTGGTAGGCAAGATAACATATGATTTACACATTCATTCCTTAACACATCAAGGATATTACACCAAGTTCAATGTGATGAAGACATTATGCCATGCTGAAGATATTTTATTTACTTTTTATTTTTTTAAATATTTTATTTATTTCTGAGAGAGAGAGAGAGAGAGAGGCAGTGTGAGCAGGGGAGGGTTAGAGAGAAAGGGAGATACAGAATCCGAGGCAGGCTCCAGGCTCTGAGCTAGCTGTCAACATGGAGCCTGATGCAGGGCTCGAACCAATGAACTGTGAGATCATGACCTGAGCCGAAGTCGATCGCTTAACTGACTGAGCCACCCGGGTGCCCCTGAAGGTATTTTAAAACAGGTCAGAAACACCCTGTGGTAACCATGTAAAGCAAGTCACAAGAGGAGCAGTCAAACTACTGATTTGTATCACCTAACGATGTAGAAAGAGAAAAGGGAGGGGCACCTTGATGGCCCAGTGGGTTGAGCATCCAACTCTTGATCTTCACTCAAGTCATGATCCCAGGGTCATGGGATCAAGCCCCGTGCTGGGCTCCACAGTGCGTATGGGGGCTGCTTCAAATTTCCACTATCTCTCTCTCTGCCCTTCTTCCCCGCTCTCTCTCTCTAAAAAAGATTTTTTTTTTAAAAAAAGAAAGAGAAAAAGGAAATTCTCCATGCTAGTTAAAATGTTTACCAGCCCCAAACCACAACTTATTTGTGAGAGTTCTTGAGTACTAGGTTGGAAACACATTTGAGCTCAAAGCAATTTCCAGGAAAATAGAATGGCAGTGTAATAAAGTGATCTGAATTTTCTAAAACCATTTTAGTTCAAGTTTTAGTTTAAGCTGATGGGCCAGAACCAGTCTGTAACCACTAGTGTACCTTTTCCTGTGACCACTGAAATCTGTCCTGTTCTAGGCTTGGACATCCCCTTGTCTTTCTACATCCAAACCGATCAGCCCAATCTCCCTTTTCTTAGGATTATATGATGTTCATTTATTTATTCATTTTCTGTCTTTCTCTTAGGGGAGAAAGATTCACTAGGGGGAGATGAGCTTCTTAAGAGAAGACTTTTATATCATCAGCACCCAGATAAATATTTATGGGATGTGGGATCATCAGCAGGTCTCGATAAATATTTGTGGGATGGATGAACTGTTGAATGATCATCCCCATAACAACCCTAGAAAGTATTCTTTTATTTTTATTTTTGAAAGTTTATTTTTTTTATTTTGATAGAGAAAGAGAGCAAGAGGAAGGGAGGGGCAGAGGGAGGGAGGAAGGGAGGGAGGGAGAGAGAGCGAGAGCAAGAGCGAGAGCGAGAGCGAGAGCGAGAGAGAGAGAGAGAGAGAGAGAGAGAGAATATGCCAAGGAGGCTCCACATCATCAGCACAGAGCCCGATGTGCTGCTTGACCTCACAAATCACAAGATCATGACCTGAGCCAAAATCAAGAGTGAGGCACTTAACTGACTGAGCCACCCAGGCGCCCCAACCCTTGGAAGTATTCTTATACTTATTTTATAGATGAAGAAAGGAAAGTAGAAAAAAAGTATATTAAAACTGCCCGAGGGGTGCCTGGGTGGCTCAGTCAGTTAAGCGTCAGACTTTGGCTCAGGTCATGATCTCACGGTGCATGGGTTCGAGCCCTGCGTTGGGCTCTGTGCTGACAGCTAGCTTAGAGCCTGGAGCCGGTTTCAGATTCTGTGTCTCCCTCTCTCTCTGACCCTCCCCTGCTCATGCTGTCTCTCTCTCAGAAATAAATAAAAAAACATTAAAAAAATTTTAAAAAAACTGCCCGAGATCACAAGCCAGTAAATGAAAAGCTGGGGCTTGAACCCAAGTGCTGTGAGACCCCTCAAGCCTACATCTGCTCCTCCAGAGCTATAGGCTTCAGAATTCTGGGAAATGAATGGAAAATGAAAGAGCAACCCCTCCTTGGCTGGAATGAGAAATGATTCACTTGTGGCGCTGGTGTTCAGCACTCTGGGGCAAAGCAAGGAAGGCAGCAGAGCGTCCTGGCCATACCTACAATGCTCACTGAATGTCGACCTCTCAGTGGTGCCTGAACCACCTTCAGCAGAAAGCCTGGCAATTACCTGCAAAACCCAATTCTCTTCCTCTGTTTTTTTTTTCTCCACATGCACAACATGAAATCAAAGGAGTCTGGCAGCGAAGAGAAATTTGGTTCAGAGGGCACTCACTGCTAAGGAGGGGTGGGAGGGGATGCAGGGGCCCAGGCTTGGCAAGGTGCATGAAGCCTGGTCTCTCCCCCTACCTGAACAATCTAGAACAGACAACACATATAGGCATTGACCATTTGAAAACAAGAAAATTCATGGGAGGGATAAACTGAGCAGGTGATACTGGGTGTGAAGTGGGAAGAATTAGACATACCCTGAGGCCCAAGGAAATACTTGAACTTGACGGGGGCTCTGGCTGCCCCTCCTCCTCTAGCACATGCAAAAAAATGAAACTGCGACATGACACCTAATTCACAAAACCTAATTCCCACTCGCATAGGCACTTTTGAAGCTCAGCATCACAACAGCTAAATATCAACTAAATAGTCGTCAATAAATATTCCATGTCAGCCATGACACAGGTACAATGCTGACACCAGGGGAGATCGTTTTAACATGCACACCTGACTTATTGCATGCCGAATGGTCGCTAGGGAATCTGACATTTAAAATCAACTCTGTATAAACTACCTTGTAAGTTGAAATCACAACCACCTAAGATGGATTTCTTACCCATGATATTATAAGCGATTGACATTAACATTTCTTCAATGGTTTTAAAAAATAATTTCATCAAATACTTATATGACTTTTTTTGAATTAACAAAAACAAAATACTCAAGAAATATGATTTTATATATTAAAAATCTAAAACTGGTAGTGCAGAGAACAGATTAATGGTTGGTGGGCAGGACCTGGTGATGGTGGGAAGGGTTGACCATGAGGGAACAATTCTGTATCTTGATTGTAGTGATAGTTACACAACTTTATATATTTGTCGAAATTCACAGAAGTTTGCCAACAAGGGTGAATTTCACTGTATGTAAATTATACCTCAATAAAAATATTCTAAAGAGTTCAGACTTTTAAAAACTGTAATCCAGGTTAGCTTCATAATGGATCTAGACAATAGTCACAGTTAAGGGAGTTGCTTTGGCATAGAGGTTGGGCGCAGTTCATGGAATTTTTAAAATCAAATATCTTTTTTCATTCTTTAAAAGCAAAGATGTGTAAATAAATACCAAAGGAAAATGTGGGCCAAACATAGTCATTTCCACAAAATCTTAGATATTTTTTCTTTCTTTCCTTCTAAGTTTCTCCCCAAGGCCAAGCGAGGTTGAAAAGCCTGAGTAAAGAGCAGAAAAGAACCCAGAGTATCACTCTTAAGTGTTTACATTGGTAGAGAAGGCAAATTCTTCCTTTCGAATTAAATGCATGGCTCCCTGAAATGGTGGATCAAAGTATAAAACGTATCTGGTTAGTTCACGGGCACTCCAAAACTATGGAACATAATGGAACTTTCTGAATTGAGTTTTCCATCACTACAGACTACGGCCTGATTGTGATACTGACAGGTGACTAAGGGATGTCCAACATCAGATGAAAAAGTCTATCATTTTGTAAAAATACAAAGTTTATTTCTAGGGCTGAAGGGCCACCATTCTGGAGACATAGTAGAATACCAGGTGGGTTTTTAAAAAAATTATGAACAAAAAGAGATGACATCTGAATAGAGGCAAAGATGCCTTATGTTCATTTTCTTTCTTTAAGCACTAAATTGATGCTGTATTTGATGTAGTTCCTTAATGCTGTTTAACTAATCTTTGATAAGTAAAACTTGGTTAAAAAATTAACCAAGTAAGAAGGGTTTTTAAAAATTTTTTTCAAGTTTACTTATTTATTTAGAGAAAGAGAGCACGTGCCCAAGAAGAGAGAGGGAGAGAAAGAATCCCAAGCAGGGCTCAAACTCACAACCGTGAGATCATGATCTCAGCCAAAATCAAGAGTCAGATGCTTAGCCCACAGAGCCATCTATGCACCCTGAGAAGGGTTGGTTTTGTACAGGCTGAGTTGAGCGTAGGATACCTTTAGGCTATGGCAGTTAAATTAGGTCCTTGCAAGTAAAGTCACCAATCAATGTAAACTTTTCCTATCTCAACTGGGGTAATCGTTACATGTTTCCCAAAACTCACCAACCTGAATTGGTGCATTTTAAATGCAAATTGTATGCATTTTGATGTGACTTAGCCCTGAGTTAATATGTTGCTATTGAATTATAAAGTGAGGACTTCTTGGGTCACAAAATGGTAGAAATACAGGGTCTTCTTAGGGCAGAACCAGCATAAATAT